TATTCAGACAATATTATAAAAAATCGTCATTGAATATGTTTTGCGGACGGATTGAATCTAAGCATTTTTTGATAGCATTCCATCTAATTCCATCCGGAGTTAGATAAATATCAAGCGAATAGGTACTTCCGTTACCTTTTTCACAACAGAAAATTATGTTTATTATGTGTTAACTATTTTGGTTAACTAAATATGCTTTGGACTTTTACCTTAATACGGTGATAAAGTAGAAAACGTTGGGTGAATCCACTTTTGAATAAAGGAAATGTTAAGGCATTAAAGTAACATTTTTTATTGTTGGTAAATTTTGAATTTCAATTTTGAAACAAAAAACCAATGTCGCACTTCTGCATTTTAAGGTTTTCGACTCAACGGAAGACAAGCGTGTTATTCTTTCACTTCTTTTTTTTTAAATTTTTTTTTTAATTTTTCTTACTGATTTTGTGCACGCAAGCGTTCCTAATGTTTTCAATTGTATAGCAACAAGACAATACCGTATTTCCTGTATGTTTTGTCATGCATTTACTATGAAAAGAAATATATGACAATCTCTCGTATAAGTATCATTTTCTGTTTCAATTGTGACAGAATTGTTTACAGTGAGAGGGATAGTTATACATTTTATATAATCAGTTTCTATCATGAAAATTCTTTCAAAGGTACAGAAAACGTAAGAAATTAGCAAAACAGTCATTTATAAATCATTGCAATCATTATGCATGTCCTGATATACATCCAATAGTAGTAAAAGCAATCTTATTGCGCTTTGATTACATTTAAAAACTAGCACTACTTATCAAATTTGATAAAGATTTTCATTATGAAGATTTCAGATTCCATGCTTCATAAATCACTATATTCATGCATCAATCTATTACAGCTGTTCAATTATGTCTAGTAATAAAGAGGAAGAATAAGCTTTTTCTTTGCAGTTGTTCCTGGACCAAAATATCGCTAAAATATGCTCTAGAAATTACTACCTTATACAACTTAACAAATATTTTTGTGGTGTCATTTATAAAATTGCGTTATATCAAAGAATGTATGTTAAATTGTTTACATAAAAGATCTTCGTAGAATTATTACTCTTACACGCTTTTTGTAACCGCAGGTACTCAATATGGCAGAATGGAGTGTTGTTAATGATGCAGGACAAGAGGTCCAAAGCATGATCGAGAATGTTGGAAAAAAATTCAATGCTGAACTTGATCCTCCAAGGGCTCTGTGTTACAGAATAATACAGCATCCACAGCAAGAAATGGACGAGTACAAGATCAAAGTGCTTGTTCGACAGAATGCCATTGCCAATTGTTCACATGTCCACGTGACCAAGACCACTGCAGGTCTCAATTTCCTTGGGGCTAAAGAAGGAAAGACTGTCATGGATCAAATCGAAGTTTAAAATACAGACTTCAGTTATTGCGCAGAGTAAACTTGTACTTCTACAGTACTCATATGATTCATTGATTTTGTGTCATACAGATTTGTAAAAAGAATATTTAAAAATATTAAAAAATCTATTTTCTTATGATTTTATCTGTTTGTGTACACATATATACTGCTTATTTTACAATATAAATGCATTTCTGTCTACTGATTTATTATGATTAAAAGACGGCAGCAAATACTAGTTGTTTTTTCCTCAGCTGAGTATCAATATGATTTTTTTAATCAATCAGTAATTAAGAAGGCAACTGGAAAATTATCAAGTCCAGTGATAGAGCTGAGGTTGCGGTCATGTTTTTCTAAGCTCCCACTTCAGACCGAAAAAGGTTTTATATCCTCTATATGTGTATGAGAGAAACTTTATTCTAAAACGGAAGTATACATAGAGATAAAATTTTTATCATTTATAACACGAAAGTAAACTTCCAACTTAGAGTAAAGAAGACATATCTTCTAGCAGCTTTTGAAGGTATGATCTTTTTCACCCTTTATAAATATCTTCATTCTCTTTTCTTTGTTTCTTTCCTCAGGACACTTGGCTCTGCAACACAATGTATTAGTTTGCCAAAAAGATGTAGCATTGCAGTAAGATTACATGTAGAATTTTTTTTTCAATTTTGATGTCGTTTGAATTTTCGTGTATTTCACTTAATGTTAAAGGGCTAAGCTCAAAACTTAAACTTGGTATTTTTACGTGACTAAAAGATTCATTTAAAAATAGTTATATATATTTACCATAAACACATTCAGTCTTAAAAAATGAAAGTCAATGGCTAAGGAATTTGGGTTCTGATATAGAATTTAGCCATGGTGAATCCAATAGTATGGGAGAAACTTTTATAGATAGATAGATAGATAGATAGATAGATAGATAGATAGATAGATAGATAGATAGATAGATAGATGATAGATAGATAGATAGATAGATAGATAGATAGATAGATAGATAGATAGATAGATAGATAGATAGATAGATAGATAGATAGATAGAGATTATATCATTATAGGCACATACAAGATAATGAAAGTATAATTTTACAATTCAATTTCACGATAGATGGAGGTCCGTATTTGCTCTGCTGCTATTTTGTATTGTTTAATGGACCTATGAGCTTGAATACTGTTCGTTATCTCCATATATTTCAATGAAACCAATTTTATTTTAACGAATATTTATGCTCCAACAAAGGATAAGCCAAACCGCCAGATGGATTGTTTAAATTTTTTTTGACTTACATAGAACCACATAGCTTTCAAAATCTCATCATTGGAGGAGACTTTAATGTTAATTTAAGTTTGAAAAGGCGGTACTACTTAAGGAAAATCCAATTATAGAGTTTATATTTAAGGAGATCTTAATTTAACTGATATATGGACAGAATAAAAACAGATAAAGATTATTACACATACTCATGTAAAAACCCTTTAGTTCTATTAAGATTATATTGGTAAATAAGCCTTCATTTGCATATGTGGGGCAACTAAGCACTCGTGTAGGCCTATTTCAGTACATGTTTATGATGCATAATGTAGCACATACAAACATGACAACCACGAAGAGAGTTTTATTTTTTAGTTGAAGAAATATGTTCTGTTATAATTAATAATTAATTACTACGCGGCTATCGTATTAATATTTTAATATTAAATGAAATCCACATAATGTGTACACACCTATTGCAGTACAGCAGAGTAACAATACAATGTAAACGCACATGACCACGATAAGGCGAAGAATATAACTAAAATTCTCTTGAAGTATTAATAAATCAAAGAAAATTGCATCATAATGCCTCATGATGCACCTCTAATATAAAAAGATAACAGTGTTCAGATATAGATACATATACACATTGTAAGCTGGCTTTGGGAGGGGTGGGGGTGGTTAGACAGTCAAATACACACGTTTACTAATAAAAATAAGTTTTTATGGAAATCAATGAGTTAGATTAAGCTGTTTGCATGTATTCCTAATGTGTTTTCTATATTCAGATCACAAATAATTCCCTTGTGTGCTCCGCACACTTTGAAGATGCGGACATAAAGAGGACACTGGCAGGAAAGAGAAAACTTATCCCTGGTGCTGTCCAAACAAAATTCGCATGGACAAAGACAACCGCAAAGCGCTTGGGACCACAGCGCAGATCAATGTAAGTTTTATTTAAATGAATTTATGTAAAATATCCTGTCCGTATGGACAGGTATAGCTGCAGAACTAGTTTCTAAGGGCATTTTTCAAATTAACTGATAGGTACTGAACTTTTCTCATAGAACTACAATTCTGTAGTAAATGTAATGAGCTTTTCAAATCATATTCATTAAGTATCATGGAATATAATTATCTTGTATTATAATTTAAAGTACATGTATAACTATATAACATAAGAAAAAGTGGTGATTCTAATTTTTCTGGAAGTTCTTTGCAATTTTTGAAGAACTTGCATCTGATTTCAACCTCTCCTAGAAAATATGCTGTAGCACAGTACATCTGAATTTTCTCCTTTGATGCTGTTATTATTTTTGTAAGGAGTAAAGATGGGCATTTCGTAGAGCATTTGCTAGACCCGGCAATGAATCTTTGTGTGTAAGGGTTGTTATAAAATTCAGAAACTAAGTATAGGTAGGGTTGGTCGAACATATCTAGGTTGACTGGAATGTCAAAAGTATGAACACTAATATGTTTACATCCCAGTTTACAGTGCACTGCATGCTTTAAGACGGCTACACAGTGTGTTAATTGAATAGAAATGAAAAAAAAGTGATATATATTTTATGGTACACAGAATAAAATACTTTCCAATTTAACTTTCCTCTCATTAATTTGAGCTCTGTTTGATTTTCATAAATCACTCAAACACAAATTAGAATTGAAAATGGTAATTTATTAATTAAATGACGTAATACGAGAACAAAAAACTAGCTACAAAACTTATCTAAAAAAAACATAACCCGGATGTATATTAAAAACATATATTGTCACATCCGAGTCGAAAACATATCTGATTGTAAAAATCATTATGCCAACATGAACACAGAGTATTACATAATATATTCAACGATTTTCTTTATAATAAGCATATTTTATGAAATGAAAAAAAAAACCAAGTATATATTCAAATGCCATTTTCAAGTGTTTTGAAAAAAAAAATAGTCATATAATTTATAGATCTAGATGTGGATTCTGCTGTGACACTATCATACAAACATTTTTTAGTCAATTGTTGATTCTAGGAACTTACGGAGCCCTCCCCTTTGACACGTACTCTCCTCATTACGATAAAAAAATCATTTCTAAGTGTTTTTTAAGTTAACCTTGTTTTAGTTTTAACGTCGTAAGGAATAAACAATTGGATGCTATTTGACCGAACAATGCTGTACGATATTTTTCTCTAACAATATAGGGCACAAAAACTGGATTCGTGTATGAAGATGATTACCTTCAATATGATCATGATGCTAACAATGACACAGGCCCTATTTTATAAAAATCGAAAGTGAAAGTAGATTTCAAGGGAATTTTCCAAAGCTTATTATAGATATTGAAATTTTGTCTAGGGATATGGATTTCAGCAAGAGCTCACACAGGTAAGAAAAATCAATATTTACATTATTTTGTAGTTTATTGAATGAATATTGGAAAATATGCCCACCCGAAGTCTTTGTGAGATAAAACGGACCGAGCATGAATAAGGCCGGACATATTTCCCAAATATTCAGTCAATAACCATTTTATAACATATATTTAAGGCCAATACAATTTTATCCTATTCATTTGAATATAATCTCTCCGAATTTCCTGTCATAAAAATTACATCTTTAAATGCTAATTTTTGTTTGAAAGAGAAAAAGGGGGTTGATAAATGTTTGGTCCATGACTGGAACTTGTTGAACTTTTAAATGTTTGATTAAGTTAGTAAAAGTGTTTTTTTTTCAGTAAGAAAGGGATACAGCCATTGTCAGAGTCTGTGTACGTAGGATTATGTAAAATATTGGGAATTCAACATCAGGTGGCCATGAGAAGAGATGTGGTTGATATTTGGAACATAGTTCAAAATCGGTCAAGAACAAATAATAACGAGGAAAGGCTATGTAGTAGGAGTTTTGGAGAAGGATTCAGACTGCAGGGTTCTGATAAGGACATTATGATATGGCCAAACCATCTAGTGATCTGGGACTTATCTCATGCCCACCAGTACATTATAAACAGATGTGTGCCAATTCTTGCTGACAGTTCAAAGAGCCCCCCAGGGTTCACTTTACTCTGGTTACCAATACCCGTAGCACACGATATTGTTCTATCATCGTGTTTCACTTTGAATGAAAGATTTTATATATCTAGTTCTATGTATATATTAAACGCATGTTCAGTAGTAAACCCTTCTTCCACTATACATGGGCCATGCAGTCGTTCTGTTCTTCAAGGATTTGAATTTGATAATGCCCACTGTTTTGCTTGTGATTTTTGGCCTCCGTCAGCTTTGTCATGGATTGACAGATGTCACTCATGGCCTAAATCTCATGTTGTTCGTGACATTGTTAGAAATAGATGTCACTTTGTTGCAATAGGACACAAATTAGGGAATTATGAAGACGATGAATGGAGGATATCATTCTCTTTCGCTGAACAAAAACTTGTGTATTCAATGAATCACTGCCAATTTTTAACTTACGGCTTATTGAAACTCTTCTTAAATGAAGTAATTAACTTTGAACAAAGAGATGAAAGTAAATTACTTTGTTCTTATCATATGAAGACAGCTATTTTCTGGGTGCTTCAAGAAAACAAAATACCACATTGGTGTCCACGAAATTTCCTGGAGTGTTTCTGGGTCTGCTTTAAACTCATTCTTAATTGGGTGTATGAGGGAGTATGTCCTAACTTTTTCATTCCAGAAAACAACATGTTTCTGACTAAAATTCATGGTGAAGCACAGACAATGTTATTCCTTAGACTGTATGAATTATATGAAAATGGAGTGGCATGCCTCTTGCAGAGCTCCTCAATAAGGCCCTACATATTAAATGCACTTTATAACCCCAGAAGCTTTATTTGTTTAGATGAAAAAACTCGGATATCAGAAGCTGAGTTTGATGAAGAACTATTCCAAGAGATAATTTTTAATGAACCACTACCACCTCAATAACTATCTTGTTTTATGATATCCATACGTCAGATAAACCAATTGATAGGTTCGCCCTTGACAAAGTATCAGGTTGTCATGTTACAAAAATGTACAGCAGTAATGCTTCAGCACACTGCATTTCTATTACACAATATTCATAAAAAGCTAATATTACATAACACTGACGACAAAAATAACAAAAACAAAGAGAGATATATTTTTGATAAGATCTCCTGTAACATGCTGAAATTGGCAGCCAAGTTTGGTTCTATTTCTGACACGTTGTACCTTGTCATGTATTATTACCAGACATGCCGCTACAGAGAAGCTTTATTTGTTATAGTGAGGACAAAAGTCAAATTAAAACAGCCACATCTGATGTATTTGTTTAATATTGACACACTGATGTATACCAAGGCTGTAGGTGGACGGCCATTGTCTACAAAATTAGGACAGGCTGTAGCAAGCACTCTTATGCTTAATAAAGAAAGAGTTTATATCAATGAGTTAGTTACGGAACAGCTCTGTGTTTCACAGAATGAAGGGTCTGGGTTATTTATCCCACCCTTTATATTGTTACATATGCTTGAGTTCCTATGTTTCAGACATGATGACATTCTAAGTGCACAAATAGGTCTAAGAAATCTACAGGTCCTAGTTCACTTTGATCAGGGGATACATATCCCTCCTGAATTGAGAGATTTATCGTGGCAGATGTTAGGGATTTGTCAACAGATCTCAGGGGACTTCCAGGCTGCTCTTTATTCCTACCAACAATCACTCAGACAATATCCATTCCATACAATACACAATGCTTCAAAGGATAGAATAATAATAATAATAATAATAATAATACTTTATTTAAAGAAGGTAACCTGATTAGTGCAAGCACTATTCTTCCCCAGGGCCTTCTGTCAATAAACATTATAAAGTTAACATAGTTATACACATACAAACATATAATAAATATATACATAAATACACAAAGACAAATATGAATCACAAATTATTCTGACATTGTTTTACATAATGTTTTACTTGTTTCTTGAAAGCATTAAGAGTTGGTGACATTTTTATATGTATAGGTAAATCATTCCATAACATGGCACCAGAGTACTGGAAGGAATTTTCAAAAAGTTTACATTTATGAATTGGCAAACACAAGTCAACATTAGATTCAGATCGGAGATTGTATTGGTTATTACTTTGAAATTGGAACATGTCATTTAAATAAGTAGGGCAAGAATTAAAGAGGGATTTATATAGTAATACATATTTATTTACAGTAAGTTGTTCATAGACAGTTAGCCAATCAAGTTCATCAAAAAGAGGTCGTGAGGGTGCATCAGGGGGAGCATCTAAAATATACCTTGCAGCACGTTTTTGAAGCTTATGAACTCTGTCAAGATTTGATCGGGATGTATTGCCCCAAATTGTAAGGCAGTAATCAATAGAAGGCATGATATATGCATTATAAAACAGCTTGCGTGTTTGAGTGGGAAGATACTTTTTAATTCTTCGGAGGGTAGAAATTTTATGTGACAGGGACTTACACACATGGTCGATATGTACATTGTACTGTAGAGAGTTATATAAATATACTCCAAGAATCTTCTCATGTGTTACGTTGTCTAGCTTCTGATTTGATATGTATAAAGAAAAATCATGCTCTGAGAATTTTGATCTCTTCTGATGTGTGCCTATTAACATGCATTTAGTTTTTGAAGCATTAAGTACCATTTGATTTTGAGAGCACCATTTTTCTATACAAGCGATGTCCATTGATAATGCACTTACAATAGATTGGGAATCTTTGCCGGGGACATGTAGAGTGGCATCATCTGCAAACAAATCTATGTTTGAATTTTTAATATTAAGTGGAAGATCGTTAATGTAAAGTAAAAACAGAAGAGGCCCTAGTATAGATCCCTGTGGAACTCCCGCTGTGACTTGCTGATAAGATGATTGTTTGTTAGACAGATGGACACTTTGAAGTCTGTCACTTAAATATGATCGAAACCACTGTAAAGTTAATTCATTAAAATTATAACACTGTAGCTTTTTAAGAAGAATTTCATGATTTACTAGGTCAAATGCCTTACTGAAGTCAAGAAAGACAGTACCAACAAGTTTGCCTTGATCCATTTCATATAACCATTCATCTGTAATTTTTGTTAGGGCTGTTTGACATGAGTGCAGTTCTCTGAAACCTGATTGAGATTCTATTAGAAGATCAAAGTCTGAAAATAGAGATCGGATATATTTTGCCACATGTTTTTCTATAATTTTTGATAATGTCGGTAAAATAGAAATGGGTCTGTAGTTATTTGGATCCAGTTTGTTTCCCTTCTTAAAAACTGGTGTAACTTTGGCAAGTTTAAAACTCTTAGGAAAAATACCAGTTGTAATACTAGTATTTATTATGTGGGTCACAGGTTTATGTATTATTTGTGCAGTAAGTTTTAATAGACGTGGACCAATGGTATCTACACCTGATGATTTACTAACGTCTAGCTTATTAAGTAAGTAAAGCACTTCATCGGGACTTATAAGTGGGATATCAACTATTTCTGTACCCATTTTAGATTGTACAAAATTCGAAAGGCCGTTAATGTCACACTCCTCTTTATTTACACCTTCAAGAAGTTTAGTAGAGATATTTGAAAAATGAGAATTAAACATCTCCACAATTTCTTGTGTATCCTCTGTAACATTATCATTTTGTGCCAGTGCGGTCGGAATATAATTTTGTGGAGTAGAAGCTAATTTATTTAATGCGTCCCACATCTGGCGTGGATTTTTGTTTTGCTCTATAGTTGATTTATAATAATTTATTTTTGCATTTTCGATAAGTGATGTTACCTTATTTCGCCATATTCTATAGTTTTCAAAGTCTTTATTTTTATGGAAGTTATTGCGCATGTGCTGTGCTTCGAGAATTTCTTGGGTTAACCATTTTGGTCTTGCATCATACTTCACTCTTTTTGTTTTTATTTTTGCATGTTTGTCTAGTACAGTATTAAAAAGTGAATAAATTTTTTTTAATGTATCATTTGGATTAGAGAGTGAATCTAAAGATTGGAAATTAACCTTTTCCAAGTCTGAGAGAAAGTTTATTTCATTAAACTTTTTGAAGTCTCTATATGTTATCTCTGTGTGTTTATACTTCCTCACATAATCATGTAATTTTCTCGTAAAACAAATAGGATAGTGGTCAGAGACTGCAATTGGCGGTACTACAGATTCACATATGTTCTCGGGTAGGTTAGTATATACATGATCAATTAGGGTTGAGAAGGCATTTGTTATCCTAGTGGGTACATTAATTATCTGTGAGAAGTCATATTCTTCAAAAGCTGAGGTCCAGTACCTTGGGGGGTCTTTCATCAGGTCAATATTAAAATCACCTGTTAAAATGATTTCAGCATCGTCACAGCGGGATGCACAATTTATCTCCCGTGTAAGACTTTCTACCCAACAGGTGGTAGCAGATGGGGGCCTATATGCGGTACAATAAAAAATTGGTTTTGAATTTGGGATGTTAATTTCAAGCCATAGTGTTTCTATGTCTCCCTTTTCAAAATCATTGCGACGTTTGTAATGCAAATTATTGGAGATATATACAATTAGTCCTCCCCCTGATTTCCCTAATCTATCCCTTCTCTCAAAATTAAATCCATCGATATCTAATTCACAGTTGTCCGTTTGTTCATTTAAAAATGTTTCACAGATACCAAATACATCAATAGAATGATAGCCTGATAAAAGAAGCTTAAGCTGGTCAATTTTAGGCAAAATGTGACATATATTTAGATTTCCAAATCTAAGACCTTTTTTGATGAGTCCAAAATTAAATGAGTGTGAATTTGAATTTTTCTTGTTTGATTTCTCGTTGATTTCAGGATTTAATAAGTTAGAATTTCTTGTTGATGAACTTGTAGTCAAGGATGTACATGTATAAGTTTTCCTAGGAGATACATTTTTATAAGAACAATTTACATCACTGTCATTGTTAAAACGTGAATAGGACATAAAATCATTATCTAGACTCGATCTTGGTGATATATGAGTAGTATTCTGTAAATTACATACTTGTGAGCATTTGCATGATATTTCACCACATTCATCACAAAGACTGATTAAAACACCAAAGGGGTTTGATTTTAAGAGGAATGGTTTTTCGGCATTATCCTCTTTGCCGTATTCCTAATAGGAACAGTGTTTTGCTTTATGACCCGGAGAGTTGCAGTTCCAGCAAACAATTTTTTGCCCATGCCTACAATTCCGTGAGGAATGTCCATTTTCACCGCAATAATAACACATATTCACATTACCAGTTGCATTTTGTGTATCATTCAGTCGACGGGTTTTAATGACTGGAATGTGGGCATCATAGGATTTCAGGAGAGTAGATGTTCCCTTGTCGGATAAATGAATCCCATCCTTCCAGAACAGATCTGATGACTTGAATTTATTTTGGAGAGAGATCATGTTAACACTATATTCCTCACAGACAAATTTTATCATTTCATTCATGTGAGTAACATCGGTATCTCGTCGTGGTAGTATTTCCGATACAAAAATTTCGGTATGTGGGGATCTTCTCTGGATATCAAGCACAATTTCAGTGAGATCACATTCACTGGTCTCAATTTCTCTGTCGTTGGCAGCATCATTACCCCCACCAAAAAGGATGATTGATCGAAAGGGTATAAGGTCAGTTTCCTAGAGAATTCTCCTAATGTCAGACAACCGAGCCCCTCGGTTTGTTCGGACAGCAACATGTCTCAATAATCCTCGGGTTCTTATTCGCTGGAGAATGGAGTCGCCAATTATTAATACAGACTTTCCAGATGGAATGTCTGACTCCAGTTGTTGTTTCTTACTGGGTTTGTTGTAAGCTTTTTGATTTCTCTGATCACTTGTTGTTTCCGGGGATGTTGAAGATTCTGTTGTCTCCACTCTAACACACTGGGTATGCCTGGTAACTCCTTGTAATTTGGAATCTTTTAGGTCCTTTGTGTCAATCGCTTTAGACTTTGTAACTAGTTCCCTTGTTTGGGTAGTTGCATCCACTGATTTAGTAGTTTTATTCTGTAGAGAATGCAATTCCTTTTTTAGTCTAGCAACTTCTTCGGAGAGACCAGACACAGTCTTTGTCAGTTTTTCAATAACTTGAAAACTATTGCAGCTTTGACATGGCCTGGGTTCCCCATCTTGTGATTTGCAATGTTTAGGTGTAGACATGTTTTGTGGCTCTGGCATTCCTTCGATTTTACTAATCTCGGTTATTGGTAGATGAGTAATTTGTTCTAGGAATTCTCTCAGCCAAGTGAATCTTTCACTCCCTTGAATGTGAATTGTTTGGGTTGATTTATACAGCGTAGCTGTAACATTACCATTTTGTGATTTGTAGATGTTTCCATTTTTAAATCCAGTTTTGCTAAACAGTAGATCATTGTTAAGAATGGTCACAATGTCGTCAAATTTATCTTGCTCATAGTTCAATGTAACACTCTGTTTGTTGAATCTCACTTGTAAGAAATCTGGCACTTGAACATCAAGTAATGGATCTACTTCGTCAGATAAAGAATTAGAATTTCCTTGTGAAAATGAAAGTCCAAAGGTATCCAAAATAGATCTGAATAAACTTGTATTTTCGTTCAAATTACTTGACTCCATTATTTACCATATTCAGAAACACAGGTAATTACTGATAAGGAGGAGCATTGTAAAAACACGTCTGGTCACTTCGAGATCTTATCACCTAAATGAGTATTATGATCTAACAAAAGTAATATCAATCGTCCAAAAATCGTGGTTGTAACACATTTTTATGATTTAATGCTTCTTTTTAACTTGTATGCCAACATTGTTATACGTAATGAATTTATATTTTTATTGTTATAAACATTACAATGATTATTGAACTAATAAATCATATAGAACTATTATACTATGGCTTTACTTTAACTTATTCCACTTTCTTCATGTGACCTTTTAAAATTTTAATAATAATTTTTTTTAAATCTTTCGTATTAAAACATATATTGGACATAAAAAAAAAAGAGCAAACCAACCTCCCAATCCCTAAAAAGAAAAAAGTTATGCGTTGTAAATAAAGAGTTTCATATTTTATAACAATAAAAGCATACGAAAGGAACTAGATGTCTTCATGTTTCAGTGTTTTGGTTTTTAATTAGTTAAAAAAAATTAAAGCAATATTTCATTAGTTAATCTGATGTTTAAGCAATTTTTCATTAGTAAATCTGATTTTAATCGGATGTTTTAAAACAATATTTCATTAGTTAATCTGATTTTAATCTGATGGTTTAAAGCAATATTTCATTAGTTAATCTGATTTTTAATCTGATGTTTTAAAGCAATATTTCATTAGTTAATCTGATGTTTTAAGCAATATTTCATTAGTTAATCTGATGTTTTAAGCAATATTTCATTAGTTAATCTGATGCTTTAAAACAATATTTCATTAGTTAATATGTTTTAATGCAATATTTTATTGGTTAATCTTGGTTAATATGTTTTAATGCGATATAAGAATGTATCTGTCCTTATTCTTACACGGATTGGTTTATGTGATACATATTTTTTTTACAATGATGATCAAGTTTTGAGATTTATCATGCATTTTAAAAAAATTAAAGAGAATCACTCATTTGTATCTTTTGAGTAGGAATCTCAGCACTTTTTTTAATAAATGAAAAAGGTGAAGATAATACGTACATATACTTTTAATAGAACATACTAAAAAGAAGCAATTTATGTACATTCTCTCTGTTTTCCTTTTAATGGTCCTCCTTACACGAGATACAGTGTATATCAAGGATTTTTTGTTTTTTGAAAACATATTTTAAATAACAATTCATTTTCATAGGTGCTTCACCTTTCACGGTAGCTCAGTTGGTAGAGCGCTCGCTCCGTGATCGGGAGGTAGTGAGTTCGAATCTCGGCCGCGACAGACATAAGTCGATAAAAAAAAAATAGGTAGCAACTGTTCCTTCGCCATGCGCTCGGCACTTCGAAGTGAAAGTTGCGGGTCCTTCGGATGAGACCTTAAAAACCGAGGTCCCTGTCACGACAGGCGTTGGCACGATAAAGATCCCTCACTGCTCAATGACCCCGATTGCCGAGTAAAGGTCAAAATTTGAAGCCCTTCACCGGTATATGGTGACGTCTCTATATGAGTGAAAAATTCTCGAATGGGACGTAAAACAATATACAATCAATCATAGGTGCTTGAGAACAGGACCCCTTCCCCCGATATACACCCCCGGGCCTATTCGACTTTTTCTCATAAATTATATTTAGATGACACATTTGTGATATAATCTATATCATCAATTCGGAAAATTGGGTTAAACAAACATTTTATAAAAATTCATACCCCCCTCTCTCTTGTCGCCCGCGTGGCGCAGTGGTTAGAGCATTCGCTCTAGAGTCGCGGAGTAAAGAGTTATCCTTATGTCGCAGGTTCGAATCCCACTGTGGGACGTGGAGACCGGTCCTTCGGATGAGACCGTATAAACCGAGGTTCCGTGTCGCAGTAGGTGCTGGCACGAAAAAGATCCCTCACTGTTCAATGGCCCTGAGTGCCGAGTATAGGTCAAAATTTGCAGCTCTCCACCGGCAAATGGTGGCGTCTCCATATGAGTGAAAAATTCTCGAGAGCGACGTTAAACAATAAACAAACAAACAAACAAACCCTCTCTCTCTCTCTCTCTATATATATATATATATAGATTGGGGTAGATTTCATAAAATGTTTGTTTCAGGTATTTTTTCGAATTGTACGTATAGATTATATCACAAATATGTCATTGAAAGATAATTTATAAGAAAAAGTCGAAAAGGCCCGAGGGTCTATATCGTGTGTGTGTGTGGGGGGGGGGGGGGGGCGATGGCAATAATTTTATTTTTATATGTAAAATATTATAAATAATACATGTATCTATGGAAAAAATCCAGCAAGTTAATGCACAAAAATTGTTGTGTAACCTTTTTGCAGAAATAACTCCAATATATTTCGTGTAACGTTAACAAACATATAAACAGCCTCTCTAGTATCAAGCTTTTCAAAACTTAAATGCTGGTTTGTTGAAAGTACTGTGTAATTTAAAATAGAAGAAAAAAAATTGGGTTCACTAATGTTAATTTTGATATATGTTAAAAAATTGTAAATTTCAGGCAAAAGAAATTTAGACTAAATTTTGAATTTAACAAATGTGAAAATTTGAAGAATTTTCTAAATATCCTTTTCCTAAAATGAATTCTAGCAGTCCCCCGAAGTCCAACTTCTTTACAATTGTGTTAGCAGAGCAGTTTTTAAATTGCGTATTAGATAATTCGTTATAAATATTGAACTGTGATTGATAATTTTGATATTAGATGTTTTCAAAAGCTGACAAGTGATGTACCTTGCCTCAAAACCATAAACTGAGAATGGACTTAAATCAAAATTTCAGATGAATATAATTTTGAAATAATTTTGATAATGAAACAAATTTTCAGCATGTTTGGGAATTTGTCTCTTATAGAACCCTTAAAATTTTTATGCACATATATTAAATAGAACTCAAGATATTCAAAATCAAAATTTTGACTTTGGTCTGTTCTCATTTTATGGTCTTGAGGCCTTATCTTTAACACATAATTACCTACTACAAACTGGCGAACAAAATACTAGATCAACAAGTACTAAACATAATTCCTAAAATACAATATCTATTTCCTTCCCCCAAACAACTACCCCTCTCCCTCTTTGATTTATGGCCAGAAATTTAGGAGGGGGTCAGTTTATTGATAAATAAATAACAGTTAGACATCACACAGACTTTGATCAGAACATTTCACCTGGCTATGAACTTTTGTCTTTATCAATAAAAAACAACTTAAACACAACTTTTATTTTCAACTACTTTCTTCATTTTCTCATACATAAATTGAAATGACCTCAAACTCACATCCATACATACAATATATTATAAAATGTGTGTATGCTATTTTCTAAATTACATTTCTAAAATTTCTCAATATGTATTACAAATATCATAGCAATGAAATCAATTTCACAATCAATATAACATTCGAAAAAGACACATAAAAATGATTCTGAGTTTCTTTTGTGAACTGCTCTATTTTACACAACATCTGTTCACCAGGTTGATAACTGTTTTATGGCCTCTGTTGGTTTAAGACTATTAGTGTGGTCTAATGTGTTCAAGTCCAAGTTTCTCCATGGCAACCTCACGAATTTTGAATTTCTGGACCTTCCCTGTTACCGTCAGAGGAAACTCGTCAACAATGGCAATGTACTTAGGAACCTTGAATCTAGCAAGCTAAGAAAAAAAACAAACTAAAATCATACTTAATTCTCTTTAACTAAACTCACCATTAAAAATTGCTGATGTAAATTCTGTAAAATAAAATAAAACTTCATTAACAAATAAATGATGATATAAAACAAATCTTCCCTTCTTGGTGCTTCATTGACATTTTCTTTATAGTATGGCTGGATTCACTTTTTTTCAGTGGGGCTTGATTCACCTTTTCTTTACAGTAGAACCTAATTTTCCTTTTCTTTACAGTAGGATCGATTTACCTTTTCCTTACAGTAGGAGTTTATTCACCTTTTCTTTACAGTAAAATTTGATTTACCTTTTCACAATAGTAAGACTTGATTCATCTTTTCTTTGCAGTACAATTTGATTTACCTTAACTCAATAGTAAGACTTGACTCACCTTTTCTTTACAGTAGGACTTAACTTCCTCCTCAGTGACAGACTGGTTCTCCTTAACTTGTATCCAGGCACAAATCTCCTCCCCCAACCTCTCGTCAGGAACCCCTACAACCTATAGATAGAACAGAGCAAAATCACTCATCAGGAGACCTCTACATCCTATATATATATATATATATATATATATATATATATATATATATATATATATATATATATATATATATATATAACAGAGCAAAAACACTCATCAGTAACCCCTACAACCTATATATAGAACAGAGCAAATACACTCGTCAGTAACCCGTACATCCTATATCTAGAAAAAGATAAAAACACTCGTCAGGAACTCCTACAACCTATATATAGAACAGAGCAAAAAAATTCTTCAGGAGATCCCTACAATCTACATATAGAGAGAGCAAACACACTCGTCAGGACCCCGTACATCCTATATCTAGAAAAGGATAATGAACACATACCTAATACGCTGTAAATCTCCAGAAAAGACTTCAACAAATATATATGATAGTTTATATGATATATGATATATGATAGTAAAAGTCAGCACCACTCACGCATAACAAATTGATTGACAATTTACTGATGTATTATGTGAAAGCATATTTTTTCACATACTGTTTCGAGTATACAGATATTTTTTGGTGTTTTATTATGTTAATACACTGTATATGATTAATTAACCATACCTTTATGCGCTTAGTCGCTTTGAGCTCTTAATTATGACAAATCTTGCTCTGAACTAATGTCATTGAAGAGTTTTTCCATCTCATTTGCAATTGCTATTTGTTATTTAATCAAGATGAGAAAATAATAAAATCTACTTTCAAAATAGTATTTTACTAAATCTCCAATTTGTGATTCAATTGCATAGTTACCTAGCTACATTAACATTTATCTTGTTTTATCGTATCAGAAATGCTTGTATGCACATTAATGAGTGCTAAATTCAACTGCAAACTCCTTATGAAGGAGTAAAAAGACACACTGCTATTGTGAAGTCAAACACCATTGCTTTGACGTTGAACGGCCATCCAAAATCTTTGACAGTTGCCCAGGGTAAAATTTGCACGCATACTTGATGAAAGAGTTACATGTATGTGCATGTTGTATTAAAAAAATAGCTAACAAAAGGAATAATTTATATCATTATTGAATGAATCCAATGTAAAAACCAAAGAAATAAAAATGAGTCTTTTTGACCAATCAAATGAAACCAATTTTTTTATGTTCCACACTTCTTAATTAAATTATGTTCCAATTCTCTTAACAGTTCTTTTTGGACCTGGTGACACATTTTGTATTAGAGATTGTTCTATCTGACGTATCCGTATACGTATCCGTATCCGTATACGTATCGAAGTATGAGAGGCATCTCGATCCCGATGATTTAACCGTTGGGTAACATTTCCATCGTTTCTTGTTTGATTTTAACCTCATTCATTGGAAAATAAGATATATAGTAATATTTCTAATGAAACGTATCAAGTTGCTGTTCACACCTATCATTTTATGGAAGGATTTTAAAAAAAAATTGTTTAGTAAAAAAAAAATACGTATATTTTTATTAAATTGTTTAAAAATAAAAAAAAAAGGTTCAAAAAGGGATTTCTCTCTCTCTCTCTCTCTCTCTCTCTCTCTCTCTCTCTCTCTCTCTCTCTCTCACAGTATCAGGATATATTATTGTTTCATTCTAGAAGTAACCTTTACCAGTACAAGACATCATCCCCATAATGCATACAGTCAACGCTCGTTATCTCATGCAACTTGATTGGACCAATTAAAACTTCGATAAATCCAAGGGTTTGAGTTAACAAAGTTTAACTGTACGGGGTGTCAGAGATCAAACATTCTAGATGAGTATAAGTTTGTCTACATCAAGCAGACACTTAAAATTGATTAACAAAGTGGAGAAGGGGGAAGCTGGGCCGAGGCAGGGAGAAACTAAAATATGACAAGTCACCTTATCAAAACTTTGACAATAAAAAGGTGACCATACTGCATACTCTATGTGTGAGTGGGGGGGGGGGGGGGGAGATCACTGAAAATTTCCATCCTCATTTTCTTTTTTATCATTATCAACATTCTGTATATCATTTGATTATATTTGATGGACATAGTTCTCCAGAAAAGCTTTGGAAAACTGGCAATTCTGGGGTGGTTTGAAGACTCTAAATTCCCTAAATTGTTAGGTGATAGCCGTATCCGAAATTCCAGAGAGCTTGAGAAAGGACTACGATTTCCGAAAGTGATGCAGTTACACGCAGTTTTTGTCGGGGATGAATTAACAATTGTCGATAAAAGGAGATAAACGGAGAAATTTTTTTATGTCTTATACATTACTTTATATACATGTTGACTAAAGTTTACTTAAATGATTTATTGAAATTAGGATGACTGTAATTCTTTGTGTACAAGCGGGATCAAAACTCTGAAAAAATGTTGATATTTTATCAATTTAATGTTTTGTATAAATTTTATCCTTTATTCTGTGTGTGTGTTTTTTTTTATTTCTCTGCTACGTTGAAGCAGCCTCTTCTATTCAATTCTATGAACTGCGTGTTGAATTGACTCACACTTGTCCCAATCTGGGCCAAAATGCATAAATAAACAAATAAATAAAAATATAAATGAATAAAAATCAGCAGGATGGACAAGGTAGCATAGAAGAAATAGATAAATCTATTGTTTTGGCATTATTTAGTCTAATGTTCTTTTCTTTCTTATAAAAAGAGAGTTAAGATAATGAATACCCTATTTTAGTTCTATATCAAACCATGAATTATAATACACATGTACGACAACAAGAGAACTAAAAAGAAAAATCAAATTTAACAATTGAATTTTCATTTCATTACCTATTTTTGTCGCCATGAAGTCTTTTCAAGTTATTACTGCTGAAAGGACAAAATATAAAACAAAATCAAGAATAGACCCGAAAGTAGCAATTTCAACTGCGGAGGGGAAGGGGGGACATACAGGTATTTGTCAAATAGTTCATTGAAAAAAAAGAATGAAGAAAGTCAACAGACGATATGAAAGTTTGTGTGTGCATGTTCGGGGGGGGGGGGGGGGGAGGCTGGTTTTTTTAACCATATACTGGTAAGGGTCTGGAAGCAGATTCTCTTTAGAAAATTGCTAAACGGTTTTATTGATTGTGTGGATATCAACGTCTTTTGCATTCAGTGTGTGAGTGAGGGGGTTAACTTTTATGTCATCTAATGTAAATTACAGAATCAATCAATAAAATGTCCTGATGTTAAGAGGGAGAGAGGGGGATCCCGATAAATGTTTTTAAACAAAATTGCAATTAAAGTTTTAAACAATATAATGAAAACAAATACAAATTTATTGAATTTCATTATCCATTTTTTAAAAAATTTTCCAGCGAAATAACAAACTTTTACAGTAGCTTAATACATTTTTTTATTAGAAAAAATACCATATGCTATTCTTAAATGAATGGGGCTGCTTTAAAACCAAACAAATTACGATGGAAATTATAGTATATAGTATAGACATCGGGATCGAGATGCCTCTCTGAGCTCGATACGTATACGGATACGGATACTTATACGGATACGTCAGATAGAACAATCTCTATTAGGAGCACTTTACCAAAACTTTACATCTGAAAACTTTGAAATTGAATCAGATTAAACTTTTATAGAATTTGACATGCTTCTTTTCAATATTATAATATAGTCAAAAAGCTTCTTATTTTCCATACAGTTTATCACTACCCAACAAAGTAATATTATATTTTTAGTCATTTTCAAAAATCAAAATTACCTGTACATCTTTGATTTTGGGGTGTTTGTAGATGGTTTGTTCTATCTCAGTTGGATAAACGTTTTCTCCACCTCGGATAATCAAGTCCTTAATTCTGCCCACAATTTTACAGAAGCCGTTTTCATCAATTTCTGCTATATCCCTGTTAATCAACATGATATTTTATTTCCATTCTGCTCCATGCGCACTTCCTGTATATTCTTTCCTTCCGATTATAATTAAATTGTCTTAGCTGATCAAAAAATACGAATAAAAGATCAAATCGTTATTTAATTTAAACTGTATTATTTAAAAAAAAAAATCGGATTGGCCTTTGTTAATATTCATATTTTCCTGGTGAATAACAAACCATATTCACCACCGAAAGAGTCCATAATTATATTAACATAATAAATTAAATATTAAGGACTTAACAACATTTCAGGAAAGAATAACTTCTCTCAGGATGATGTGTCCTTACCCAGTGTGGAACCATCGGTCAATGGCGATGACCTCCTGTGTTTTAGATGGTTCGTCCCAATAATAGAGCATTGTGTTGTATCCTCGGGTACATAACTCCCCCGGTGTGTTAACTGGACAGATGTCACCATTTTCTCCAATCACTTTACACTTGAAATATATTACTCATAAACATTGTGTATTTTTTTCTGGTCCTATGAACACAAACTGAGAACAAAGTTGATATGTATTTAACAAACACGTTCAAAAATTAGAAGTTTGTATAACATTCTGATACATATACATGATGAAAATGCTATTTTATTTTTCAAATCAATTTCAAAAGTTATTTCATATTTTGATTAAAGTCTGTGACGGTTGACAGGGTATGCTTACTCTTCTATTTCACCTTATTTCTGACGTTTTAAGAGGTCCGTGTTTGCTCTTTTCCAAATAAGTATTTTTTTTTAATTTGACTACAGAATGTTCCGTATACCTGATCAATGCATTGGGCTCATGGTATGTGTGACCAGTCAACAGGGGGATGCTTACTCCTCATAAGCACCTGATCACATCTCTGGAATTTCCAAGGGTCCATGTTTATGCCCTCTTCACAGATTTGTATTATTTATAGATTTCTTATGAGATTGACCACTGTTCTTTATCTTCACCTTTTTCATTTAATTGAATTTTGAGCCGCCTGATCACTGTTCATTATCTTCTTATTTCTTCTGTTCTCAAACAATGGTCTTTTTGCTTGATTTCTAGTTATCATTGTTATGGTCGATACAATGACCTTGTCAGCAAATACAATTTATCATTGAGTCAAATGCTGACTGACATTTTTCATACTTATTGTTAGGCCATTATTTACATACTGAGTTGTCGACGGATTTTTCCGTTATTTCCCGATCATGACAAGGAGCACACGGCGGGTGTGACCGGTCGGCAGGGGATGCTCAGGGCACCTGATCCCACCTCTGATGTTTTAGAGGTCCGTGTTTACTCTGCACCTATTTTGTAATGTTTAATGGACTTTTGAGCTTAAATACTGTTCGTTATCTCCATATAATTTAATTTCGTTTGTATACTAGCCTCTGATTGGTTAATATCCAAAAAGGAACACAAATTATTTCTGTATAACCTGGTTTGGTAAGGGGACACCCCCCCCCCCCTGACAACCAGCTGAATCACCTGTATCCATACAATCCTCTCATTTCCAGTCCTCGGGATTCATGGAAAATTCCAGATTTAATAAATGTACCTTTAATTTCAAACAATAATTCGATCTTACCACATGTAACCAAACAACATGGCTGCTATGCCTATGTATCAGTTTTTACCTCCCCTCGATTCCCATCACTTCCGTTACTATGGTTGTATTATTGAGCGGCAAATTTGAACTAATAAAAAGTAACGAAATTTTAAACCCATAGTTATTTAATGATTTTAAAATTAAATTATAAGGAATGACTCTAATTCTTGGCCAAATTATTCGAGTATAACCTGGTTTGGGTCAGTTTACGCTGTTTTATAATCCGCTTCGCGGATTATAAAGCGTAAAATGACCCAAACCAGGTTATACTCGAATAATTTGACCAAGAATTAGAGTCATTCCTAAAATATTTCATTCTAGTTGAATGTACAAGTAATAAATGAATATCTCTTTTTCTCACCTAGTCTTATAACTTGGATGAATTTATCTAATATATCATCCATCAAAACTAACATTTCACTTATTCAAATTTGTAAAGCAACCAAATAACATAAAAGAACCCCTTTGGCTGAGATGAACTGCAAGAAACTTGATCAGAATTTTTCATAGTGAGGTAAAACGTATTTATTTCAAGGACAAATGTTCATGTTTTAACTTTTTAAAACATTTGCAAATTTATTTTGTTCAAAATCATTCTGATTGGACACACAAGTACTTCGAAGTTGATAGTAAGCAGATATTTGAGTTTCTGACTGACAATATATAATATGTAGTTTGTTTTTTTTTTTTTTTTGGAGATCAGGGTCTCCCAACCTCCCAACATCTGTCAGAATTCCTAGGGTAACAATTGCGCCCCGTTATTAGCAGTCCAATTCTTGTTTTAATATGAACCAGAATTTATTTGAAACCTTATACATGAGAAGAAGAAAACACTTGCTGTGGCCTTCACTGGACACTTAAAGTGTCGATGTATTTATCGATTAATAATAGTTTCTAACCATTCATATGCCAACTCGATATACCCGAGTGAATTTGAAATAAAAGAAAAATCCACCGTCTGACACAAACGTTTCTTATTTTGACATTTTACTAGAAAACAATATTTACAGTAACCTAACAACAAAACTTTATACTAAATGTGATGACTTTAATTTTTCTATCATCAATTTTCCTTACTTATGTAGCAATATACCCTTACCACATACATATGGGGTTTATATCTCTCAGTTGATTCAATATTCTAGAAATTGATCTACGTATTAACTATTTCTAAAACGGGGCAACCTTTTGAAAGTTGATGAATGAAGAATATCAAAAGTTTCATTTACAGTCAACTTTTCACAAGTTCCAAGGACGATAAAATGACCTTGTCAGCAAATACAATCTAGCATTTAGTCAAAAGCTGACTGACGTTTTCCATACTAATTGTTAGGCCATTATTTACACACTGAATTGTCTATGCATGTTCGGTTTTCCCCGACGATGACAAGGAGCACATGGCGGGTGTGATGGTCGTCTGGGGATGCTTACTCTTCCATGGCACCTGATCACACCTCTGATGTTTTTAGACATCTGTGTTTCGTCTGCTTCCGATGTGTATCGTTTTAATTGACATTTGAGCTTGCCTAAGGTTTGTTATCTCCACATTTCATTTTAAAAATATCTTTTAGCTGTAAACTATTATGAGCTGTATAAACACACACCTCTACGTGACTCTGGGGTCTCCCCACGGTAGTGACCCGTTTTTCCGGGTCATCTGTCGGCAGGCTTTGATGAGTAACTGGACTTGTCTCAGTTAGTCCATAACAAACCTATAGAAAAATACCAGAAACATATTAAATGCATGTTTTGCTGAGTACTTAGTTATTATAAATATTGATATCACTGGTATACATGGTTTCTGTAATAATGCTCAAAAGAGAGATTTTGATCATTATAGCTGATTTGAATTTGATAGATGGATTTTTTATACGCATGAAATGACAAAAAATTTCACTTTCACATAAAGAGACATGTAATACATCAAAATATACTCAATAATCCAAACTTGAATGAGTATATTTTTTTTAATTAACAAAATATTCTTCGTTACAAAAATCTGAAACTTTTTCTCCAATAAGAATAACAAATTAATGACAAAGAAATGTAAGTTAATCATATTAGTAAACTTTCACATTTCTTCAATGATCTTAAACAAAATTGTACATAGAAAATTACATTTAAAAAAAAATTTAATTAACATGTTGATTCCATAAATAAATTTGAAAAAGCATCCAGTTTCTAATAAATTTTGAGAAACACTCAGTAGCATAGTGTACATTTCCATTTTTAATTTACTCCAACGTTCAGTTCATATTTTTATTTTTAGTTGCATATATGATGCACTAAACCACCATTACACTCCTGACATTTATATTATGCATCTCCCAGTTGTCGATTTGAGATTCATAACTTACTGTGACTCTGTCCATGTTCATCCGGCTAATGACCTGTCTTAACGTCTCTATGGGACAAGGTGACCCTGCCATGACCCCCGTGTATAAAGAAGAAAGGTCAAAGGTGTCAAAGTCATGGTGATTGAGCATGTCAATAAACATAGTAGGTACTCCATACACAGAGGTACATCTAGGATGAAACAAGTGGTGTTAGTTAAAGAGGAAAGCATCAGTCATAAAGTAAGAATAAAGGAAGAAATATAATGTCACAACATGACCCTTACTTTTCCTCGGCAGCTGCTTTGAGTGTTAAGCCTGCGTCAAACGTCTGAGAGGGATAAACACAGGTAGATCCTGCTGTCACATTACACAGGCTGCCCACTACCATTCCAAAACAGTGGTAGAGTGGTACTGGCATACAAATCCTGGTGTCCTGTTTTATTGTATACAAAACATACTAACAAAGGTTCAAAGCAAGATACGATACAAGTTCTACTAAGTTCTTTTTTCATTCTCATGAAACTATGAATAGCAGTAAAGGAAAACTTCAGAAGTACGGTGCAACTACATATTCGAGAAGTGAAGTTAAACCAATCTGGATGCTAAAAAACTTCAAAGAACTTTCACAATGATTTTTTCAAAATCAATTCACATGTAGTATTTAAACTATAGACATTGAAAACAATTAAACTTTATAATAAACGTGATGACCTTAACTTTCCTTATATACGTAGCAGTATACCTTTATCGACTGCATATGGTGTTTATGTATCCAAATTGTTTAAATATGTTGGTCAATTTTCAAATCTATGCCAGAAAATGTACTAACAAAGTTGTTTGATTATTAACATTCTCGTTTACAGTCAACATTACGCTGTTGACCGACATTCATAATACAGTTTGACAGGCTATTTACTCCATTTACTCAATCATGACAAGGGATAGGTGTGAAAGGGGGTGCTTACCTCTCCATGGCCCCCGATCCCATCTCTGATGTTAAAGGTCTGCGTTTATTCTGCATTTAATTTAGTTGGATTTTAGCATGATTACCATTTGTTATCTTCATGTTTCACAATGAGTATTCAAATTTCGCATGAAGGATGTAAAGATGGAGTTGAGCATTGCTTGATTTGAATGTCCCATTGATGCAAGAGGTAAAATTCAAAATAAGTTGCCATCCCAAACAATCAAACATCTTTAAAATACATTCAGAGCACCTTTTTGTTATTATTAATCAAAAAGGAAGAGCTACCGCAATTAAATAAATAATATGCATAATTAACTATGGTACACCACAGCTTCATCTGATATTAGTACAATTGGCCTCTTTCATTTTGCAAATTAACACTAAAACTTTTAATACCTGAAGCAGATTTTTGTATCATTCTTTTTGAAATGTACAAAATGGTTTAAAGATTATCTACACACTTGATGATTTTTAGTGAAAGATGAAGATAAATGAAGATAACAAACAATGATTCATTTTCCACTGAAATGATACAAATTATGAGCGGAGCAAATATAGACCTCAGAAAAACATGAGGCGGGATCAGGTAGATTACAGGAGTGAGTGTCTCTAGACAACTGGTTACACACACCATGTGCTCTATGTCATAATTGGGTAAACGGAGAATCTGCTTAAATTTCATGGGTCAGAATCTATATCAGAAATTGCAGAGATAGAATCAAATAACAATCCAATAGAAAAAATATTTCAGTGAGAAAATGTTTGACACTAAATTAAGTAATATTTTTTAAAACCTTAACATTTGCATTTTTGTGTCCTGTAAATTGCTATACACTTTTTATTTTGTTGTAAATTTCTAGGGATAAGAAAACTTAAATTATAACAAAATATAAATACGAGGTGTTATCAAAAAGTTCGTGGACTAGCACAATAAAATTAGAACCGCTTTAGGTACATCAATGAATTTTAACAAATTAAGTTATAATAATCTTTTCTATCTATAGAATAAACCATAAATCATGAATTTTATATTTTAATAAATTGTCAATGTTTTTGTAATCAATACTATGTCTAGGCGGCGCAACTCCAAATATGACGTTTTTTTCTATGTAACTGAGAAAAACTCTTTTGATATGAGCATTTGACATCATAAAATCCCGTTAATTCAGGCATGTGGTACGACACTGTTGTTAAAAAAAATTGCAATTTTTACCCCGTTCTGTATGTCCTATGAAATTTTATCGTAAATTTTATATGTAGTGTCCAATCAATTAAGGGCTTGAAAATGAAGTCAAAAAGGGGAGATTTTTTTCTAATATTCTATAAAGTTTCACTCCTGGAAAAACCGGTATAGACCTAGGGAATGTTTAAACAGGCTACAGAAAAATAAAATGCACCCAGGGCACTTGTTTTTAAATGCCCAAAAAGATTCAGAGAGATGAAAAATGCACAGTTAATGTCGATTTGTGGTCAGGATGTCAAAAGTCAGTCACGTCGAAAAGTGACCTGGATCATGTGTGTTAGAAATTGAACTCCAACAAGCTAAGTATTCTGGCATAATCTAATGAGGATCTCTCCCTTTGTACATGTATACATGTAGATCCATTTACAATATTATATGCATTGAAAGCAGCTGTTCATGACATGGTAAAGTCATACAAACAAGACGGGCTTAAGTCTTTACTTAACTCCAGGTAATCTCATCAAGATAAGTGTATGAGGTAGAGAGAGCGGACATTGAGAAACAATGACGTTGTCGGACATCATAAAACTAAACGGCGACAGCGCCTGGTGATCGTATAATGCCTTTTTTATTTTAGAATAATTTGGCAAATTATCAATGTATCAAGCTAAAATTTTCAACATTTCTAAAACTTTTGTTGTTTTATGTTCCTTATGAATTTTGTAAGCACAGGCTCCATAGTATTAATTTTATCGCAATCAGTCCACGAATTTTTGGATAACCCCTCCTATATCTAGGTTAAGAATACAAATAAAAAGCTCTAATGCATACAATGTTTGTTGCAGAAAATGTAAAATCCTGTACACATACCTCTTTGTCATAGTTGAGTCTCTTAGCCACAAAATAGCTATTGTTTACGATGTTGTGGTGAGATAAGGTCGCTCCTTTAGGATTACCTGTTGTTCCCTAAATCCAAATAATTTGTTACACAAAATTACCAGTCCTTCTGCTAAAATAATTTTAAAAACGTAATTTTATTTTCGTTTGTTAAACGAAAAGGTGAACACTTATTCAGGGCGCTCACTGTGCATCTAGAAATCACAATTTGTTCTTTTTACGATATACATGCAAAGTATTATCAGGATGCAATACACTGTTAGTATTGTTTTGCCTCCACGAATGAAATACACACTTTTCTACAATTTTGTCCGCAATGACCCAATTCTCAAACATGTACCTTTTTATTTTTTTCTCATTTTGCAAAACGTAAATAGTCCTGTATTTTGATATTTTCTGTGTAGACTTTTCTTGTAATTCAAATCTTAGAAAAGGAGTAAAATTATCTTCAGAAGCAATAGCAGTACGTTTCTCTGTTTGTTTAATCATTGGATTTCAATAAAACATTTTTCTGCAAATTCTTCTTCAAATAATAGATATCAATAATTAAGGAAAGTCCTGAAAGTTTAGAATAAATTCAGAATCAAGGCTTTTTTATAAACATGTACTAATTTTTTTTTTTCAACACAAAAAAAACTTTATGTTTTCTGTTTGCTATAAACATGATTGATTTATTTTGTTTATTCATTTATGTTTGGTTTAATGGCTACTCACAGATGTAAACTGTATGTTGATTGGTTCATCAAACTGAAGTTTACTCTGTAAATTCTGGATTTCTGTACGGTCCTTGTTTGTTCCAGCCTTCATCAACTCATTATATTTGATTGTTCCTCTGTTAATAAAGGATTTCACACACTTAAGATGTGAATAACATGTTACATGTTGTGTAATATAAAAAGTTCTTTGGGGATGAGAAGTTTCAGCAGTAAATTTTTTTGATAAAGTGTTTGACTTCCAAGTGTCTTAAGATTGCATACTGTCTAAATTCAATGCATTGCATTTGTGATAAAATATGACTCTCTTTCTTGTATGCCTTTTACTATATCTTTTAAGGAGGTTGGGGGGTCAACAAATTAACCATCAGATATATAACTTATTTGTTTAGATATGATATCTGAAGCTGTCAACTATCATTTGGCAAAGAAAAAATTCATACATTTTAGTTTTAAAATTTGATCATTTTTGTATATCTTTATATGGAGCTCTTCTTCTAAAGAGATCAATATAGTCTAAAAATGGCCACGACCACCCAGCCCTCTTAAGTATGAATTGTGATATTTCAAACACTGCAATTTTGCTCATCATAAGGATTCATGATTTTGCATAACCTAGTTCCAATATAAATAATTTCAGAATCCCAAAATAAATTAAATTCTATTATGATGATGATAACTTACGAGTAGGAATTATTTCCCATCATAACGATGTGCTTTAGATGTGGAAGCCTACAAAATATTAAAGAAATTGTTAAAAGAGGGTTTAATTAATACATTAAAAAAATAAACGTACATAAACTTATGTAAATTAGCCTTTTGTGTCATACACAACTTTTCCTTTGATTTGTTGAATTCATTTTTTTATCTTCCAAATTCTTTTTTTATGATTTTTAAAATCATTTTATTGCCAAAAAATGACAATAACTATTATCAATTCACACTAACATATATGAATCAAAGGTAGAAAAGTATTTTATAAGTAACAAAAAAACTTGTACCAATTTTTTTTTCATTATGATTACAGAAATATATAAACGTTATTATATATAATCACACAAGTTTACATATTTAAAGTTAATCTGCTCTTTCTAATGGAATTGCCAAGGAAAATTGACATACAGATATATTTATCATTAAAAGTCATAATAGTGATTGTAGGCAGCTTCTATCAAGAAAATAACAAGCCATTTTCATCTAAAGCTGTATATTAAATAAAACATGATAGAACTAAAATGACTAAGGGTTTGCTATCATAGATACAACTAAAGAAGGAAAGGGGCGTGGAATACACAATGTCAACAAAACATAATGGTCTTCTTCATTATTGTTACCTGCTTCAGAGAAATCTTTAAAAGATGAATACTTACTTCATACAATGATTATAAAAGAAATAAAAATCAACACAAAAAGATAAAACTACAACATTAAACTTTAAAAATTTGAAAGAGAAATAGTACAAATGGAACATACAAATCAGAAACAAAAAATAAATGCTTGCTAGCCATGCTAGTTGCAAAATTCAAATTGTAAGAAGAATACCATTTCAGTGTTGTTTCAGTGAAGACCTGTACAAGGTGACAAATTGTAAAAAAAAAATAAAAATGTACAAATAATATGGTTATCTATTGTTCATGGATAAATAATATTTGTTTCTGTATAATCAAGAAGATTATTGTGCAGTTAAATCTCCTTTACCCAAACTAATTGATTTAAATAGGAATATTTTGAATCTTTATCACGCATATGCAGCCTGGGATAAATGAGTATCAAATGCAAACTGCTATTTTTATTTTTCTGAAGTGCAAATCATTACAAAGGATGAAATATATGGATATAATGAACAGTATTCAAGTTCAAAAGTCCATTAAACAATACAAAATAGGAGCAGAGCAAACACGGACCTCCAAAACGGCAGAGGTGGGATCAGGTCCCATGGAGGAGTGAGCATTCCCTGCCGACCGGTCACACCCGCCGTGTGCTCCTTGTCATGATCGGGAAATAATGGAAAAATCCGTCAACAATTCAGTGTGTAAATAATTGCCTAACATTTAGTGTGAAAATTGTCATTCAGCATTTGACTCAATGATAAATTGTATTTGTTGATAAGGTCATTGTATCGACCATAGAACTTACGAAATGATTACTTTAAACGAGACTGCTGATATTCTTGTTTCATCACCTTGTTTGTCAATAATTTACCTCGTGTTAGAAATTGTACATACGTAGAGCATGCTCTTGCGTATAGAAACAACTGAGAGATATAAACCCCAAATGCAGGTGATGAACGTATATTGCTGCATAAGTAAGGGAAGTTGACGATTGAAAAGTTAAAGTCATCACGTTTATCATAAACCTTGGTTGTTAGATTACCATGAACGTCTTTTTCGTAAAATATCCGAATATGAAACAGATGTGTCAGACTCTGTGGTATCTTTTATCTCAAGCTCACCGGGATATATCGTATCGACATAAGAATGGAAATAACCATTGTTAATTGACAGTATGTCGTCGATATATCTAAATGTCGAGTTGAATGACGACTTTAAACGAGACTGCTGATATTCCTGTTTCATCAACTTGTTTGTCAATAACTTACCTCGTTTTAGAAATTGTTCATATGTAGAGCATGCTCTTGCGTATGGAATCAACTGAGAGATATAAACCATATATCTCAGTTTGTGGAACAAAGGTGGTGTTAGGATAATGATCTCTTGAATCCTATAACAGACTCAATTTGAGAAGAAGGAAAAAAATTTGACCCCAGATTTGGGATAGTGTGAGTAGGAGGGAAAGGAGGAGAGATAAGTATCTCCAGTTAATTTGTCACAGTCTCAATGAATCCTCTGTATTGATCAATTAATCGTAGCAATCCATAGTCAATTAATGAAAACAACAGGCTAATGCATCATTCAAAATAAGATTCAACAATAAGATATACTTGCAAACAAAGTCAAAACATGTTTTTCCCTTAGCCTTCCTCATTTTAAAAAAAAAGATTGTATTCAGAACATGACCATGTCAGAGACAGAGACATCATATGCAAGTTGCGCCTGGAAATTTGTTACATGAACATGAGAAGTTGACAACAGAAATGCTGAATCCATCAAATTTCAATTGTCATTCTGTTTATTTGTTATTTTACTATTAGCATCTAATGTTTTAGTCTAGCTTTTCAATTAAATTGTTAGTTTTCTTGTCTGCTTGTAAAGATTTAATGATTAGTGAAAAACTAGTAGTCTTAATTTCTAAACACATGCTACATCTTCACTAATTTTTTTAATGAATGCTATCATGTTCAATTTATGATAAATCAATGTTTGTTAACTTACAGGTGACTGTGTATTTGTCCAGCCTTAGTAGCTGCTAATTCTGGCACCAAATAAAACAGTGTCTCATAATAGCTTTGACCTTTGAACTCTTCTGCTGCTATCAAAACTTTACAACCAACCTAACAAAAGACAAATCATGTTATGTCCTGAGACTTCACTTTGTTTGTGATTCTGCTGCGATAATCATTTAGTTCATTGGCCATCTCAATTCATTTACATGTAGTAATTCTATTGATAAATTGCTTACTTTATTTATTCTTCACAATTATTCATTTTGGCTGACTAACAGTATACACAAAACCATAATGAAATGTATAAGCATTTCTTAATTTTTACTCTGCTTCAAGAAGTCAGTTGAAAAGTAAACAAATGAAAGCCTGAGATCTAGACAGATTTGACTTTTTGTAATTTTGCCAACATCCTCATTTATTACATTACTAATCTAACTTCATTTATATGTCGTAATTCTGTTGATATCTTACTTTATTTAGTGTGAACATGTAGTAATTCTGTTAATATCTTACTTTTAAATTATTTAATGTGAACGTGTTGTAATTCTGTTAATATCTTACTTTATTTAGTGTGAACGTGTTGTAATTCTGTTGATATCTTACTTTATTTAATGTGAACGTGTCGTAATTCTGTTCATAACTTACTTTATTTAGTGTGAACGTGTCACAATTCTGTTAATATCTTACTTTATTTAATGTGAACGTGTAGTAATTCTGTTGATATCTTACTTTATTTAGTGTGAACGTGTAGTAATTCTGTTGATATCTTATTTTATTTAATGTGAACATGTGGTAATTCTGTTAGTATCTTACTTTATTTAATGTGAACGTGTTGTAATTCTTTTAATATCTTACTTTATTTAGTGTGAACATGTAGTAATTCTGTTCATATCTTACTTTATTTAGTGTGAACGTGTCGCAATTCTGTTAATATCTTACTTTATTTAATGTGAACATGCAGTAATTCTGTTGATGTCTTACTTTATTTAATGTGAACATGTAGTAATTCTGTTAATATCTTACTTCATTTAATGTGAACATGTAGTAATTCTGTTAATATTTTACTTTATTTAATGTGAACGTGTTGTAATTCTGTTAATATCTTACTTTATTTAGTGTGAACGTGTTGCAATTCTGTTGGTATCTTACTTTATTTAGTGAGAACATGTAGTAATTCTGTTGATATCTTACTTTATTTAGTGTGAACGTCGTAATTCTGTTAATATCTTAGTTTATTTAGTGTGAATGTGTAGTAATTCTGTTAATATTTTACTTTAATTAATGTGAACATGTAGTAATTCTGTTAATATCTTACTTTATCTAGTGTGAACGTGTAGTAATTCTGTTAATATCCCTTATTTAGTGTGAACGTGTCTTAATTCTGTTATATCTTACTTTATTTAATGTGAACTCCAGCTCTTCTGGTCTGTACTGTGGGTTGATATTCACCTAAATCCAAAATAATATCACTCTTGAATAAATGTACTGAAATATACAGAGAAGAAACAGATTTTTAAACACTTTTAAAGCTTTACCAAAATTATTCCCACTCTGGCGGTAGCGTACTGTGTTACGACCCATTCCACCATGTTTGGTCCCCAAATCCCTACTCTGTCTCCTTTCTTAACTCCAAGACTCAGCAAACCTGCTGCCAGCTGATCAGCCTTAAGTAAAACAGTAATGGATATTTGTATGTTTGTCAGTAAGCTATCAGTTTAATTCTACATTTACAATCTAGAAATGAACATTCTAAACGGGGTATGAAATATATCATTTTACAACAAAAATTAAACTGACTTTTGCAGTTATTCTCTATCAATTTTAAGCACTGTTCTCTTCGTTTATCCAGAACTGTATGGTTAAAATCAGTTGATTTATAAATACTTGGTATTCTCTTAACTGACTAGCGTAATACCCAAAACCATGAAGATAAATATATTAACATTTCTTAATTTTTATGCTGCTCAAAGAAGTCATTTGAAAAGTAAGCAAATGTAAGCCTGAAGGCTTAACATTCTACTCTTCATATGTCTAAGTTTCTATCTGTACAGCCTGACCTGCTCCAACAGCTCAGAGAAGGATAATCGGTCTCCAGAGCCACTGAACACTACAGCTGTTTTGTCAGGATGCATCTCGGCCCGCTGTTGTAGAAGTTGACCAATAGTAGCCCCCAGAAGAGGAACATCGCCCGGTCCCTGTGTGTAACTCCATTGTAGTTTATCCGTGGAGGAGGAACTTGAAAATCTTTAAAATATATATATATATATAGAAAATGATTCAACTGAACGTTTCCGATCTTTAAAAAAATCTTCAGAAAGATTGAGAATAGAGATTGACCTATGTAAGGTGTATAACCAGGCCAGGTACAAAGAACCTGAATGATTCCATGAAACTACACCAATACAAATATGTGAAGAGGGCATAAACACGGATTAATCAGATGAAATGAATACTGTTCGTTATCTCCATATATTTCATGACTGAAGCGAACTTCTGGGAGTCTGTCGATTAATGTCTCTATCATGTTTATGACATTTATGACAAGTTTCTTTCATGTGAAAATATTGTATTAAGCATTATACAAAAAGTTAATGCCAGACTTAAATTTTTATATAGAAATGCATCTTGTCTTAATACACAGTCTAGAAAGACCCTATGTTCTGCCTTGATACGATGTTACTTTGACTATGCCTGTTCTTCTTGGTATTGTGAAATAAATAAGCAACTTAAACACAGATTACAAGTTACCCAGAACAAAGTAGTACGGTTCATTTTAAACCTTGGTCCAAGAGAGAGTATTTCTAGTAATATTTTAGAGTCTCTGAATATGTTAAGAGTGGAGGACAGAGTTAGACAATTAAGATTAAACCATGTTTTTAATATATATCATGGAAATGCACCAGCTTATCTCCATGATCATTTTGTACTGGATAATAATATTACAAGAAGTGCAACTAATAAGAATTTTTATGTACCTAAGATAAAAGGGAAAGAGTCTTCATGTTTTTTTCTATAATGTTATTAAAGACTGGAATACTTTACCACATGAGATCAAGGAGATGAATACTAAACAAAAATTAAAGAAAGCTGTAAGATCTTTTTTATCTACAAATGCTAGTGATACTACGTGAAGGCTTGTCTAATTTTATTTTTATTTAATTTTATTTTAGTTTTATAAGCATTATTGTGATAATTTTTAAGGTAAATGTGTAATGAGAAACATGTCATTTTTCAAAGCATTATGCTATATTCATTCAAGTACCCTGTCTAAATTCCATTATTTAATGTAATTTTTTTGTTACTAACATATTTGAAATTTAAGGACCCCATTGGAAATAAGCTTTTTAAAAAAAGCTTTTATGGGCTATCCTTAGGTAATACCTATCATCTGTATGTCATGTAAGTTAATATATAATAATACATGTATATGCTCAATTAGATCTTTATTAAGTAGCATAGTGCCAAGATAATGTCTGTTTTTTTTTCTATTAGTAGGCTAATCTGTAATGTTTTAAATGTGTGTAATCATGACATTCTGTGATATTTTTACCTGAATAAAATGAAATGAAATAAAAAATCATCAACATGACCCTAACTTTATGTAAATATGAAATCTTAATATAGCAAATTCAACGTTCTAAGACAGATACATATATTAAATGTCAGGGAAAAAAAACCCTGCTCCTTTGGTGATTAATAAAAGGACTGGGTTTAAATAAATATCTTAAAAATAAATTTAAATGGTATTTGGAACTCATCGTTAGTATTGGCAAGCATTATGAATTTCAAAATTAAAATTCATTGATACAGTTTTTTTTAAATTCACTGGATTTTTAAAGCTAAAAATAGACATTAAAAATTTCCAGCGAAGTGTGTGAAGTAAAATGGATTCCAGAAACACCACATACGGGTATATGAAAAATAAAACAGGTATTTTGGTAAAATAAATTTTAAATTCATTTCTAAAACACATCACTTATTTTGCAAACAAATTCTTTCATTTTTTTCCATCAGAAGGAGATGTATAGAGAATTTGTCAGAGTCTGTATTTATTGGCCTTTGTAATATACTGGGAACTCCACAACAGTTAGCCATGAGGAGAGATATCGTCGAAGTTAATATGAATATGGTGCAAAATTACCTGGAAGCAAATAAGGAAAACTTTTTATGGAGTGGGAGTTACGGAGAAGGATTCAGACTTCTAAAATCTGATGTGGACATTATGGAATGGCCAACTGATCATCGAGTGTTCTGGGACAGATCTCAGATCAAGTGTAACAATGCAAAAAGATATGTGTCAATTCTTACGGACAGTTCAGAGAGCCCCCAGGGTTTACTTTACTCTGGTTACCACTACATCAAGCACATATCTGTGTTCTGTTTTCATGTTTTAGAATGAAGGAAAGATTATATATATCTAGTTCTAAATACATTGAAAACAGAATACTGCTTGAACCCAATTGTATTAAACATGGACCGTGCACTCTTGATGTCATAGAAGGATCTGGGTGCGATCGTGCCCACTGTTTTGCATGTGACTTTTGGCCTCCAACTGCCTCCTCATGGATTGACAGATGTCAATCATGGCCCCAGCCTCATGTAGTTCATAACATACTCAGAAATGGATGTCATTTTGTTGCAGTAGGACACAATTAAACTAGGGAATCACGAACACAGTGAATGGAGGATATCGTTCTCGCAGGCAGAGCAAAAGCTCATATATGCATTGAACCACTGCCAATTGTTAACGTATGGCTTACTAAAAATCTTCTTTTATTTAAATGAGGTCATTAATTATGGATACAGTGAAGAAAGCAAATTACTGTGTTCTTATCACATGAAGACAACTATTTTCTGGGTGCTTCAACAAAACAAAATTCCACAATGGTGTCCACAAAATCTCCTGGAGTGTTTCTGGCTCTGCTTTAAACTCATTTTTAAGTGAGTGTATGAGGGAGTATGTCCTAACTTTTTCATTCCAGAAAACAACATGTTTTTGACTAAAATCCATGGTGATTCACAAGTTACTTTATTCGTTAGACTATATACATTATATGAATTAGGTGTATCATGCCTATTATACAGCCCCTCCATCAGGTCCTATTTTATTAATGGACTCTGTAATCCAAGACTCTCCATCTGTATAGAAGAAAGCACTTTGATCTATGAGGCTGTCTTTGATATAGAACTAATTCAAGAGATACATAAAAATGCATCACTAAATACACTAGATCTAATCTCTATTATGAGAACCTTGCACAAGATAGAACAATTGACACGTTTTCTCCTGACAAAATATCAAGTTGTTATGTTACAAAAACTTACAGCAATAATTCTCCAGCAGACTGCTTTTTTATTTTATAATTTGTTGCATTCAAGTACTCACATGTGCAGTGACAATAACAAAAAGATATATATTTCTGAAAAAATGTCCTGTCACATGCTAAAATTGGCAGCCAAGTTTGGCTGTGTTTCTGACATGTTGTACCTCGCCATGTATTATTACCAGACATGCCGATACAAAGAAGCTTTATTTGTGATAGAGAGGACAAAAGTCAGATTAGCACAGCCCCATCTGCTATATGTGGTTCTATTTGACTTCGAAAAGTATACCGAGTGTAAAGGAGGACGGTCATGGTCAACAAAACTGCGGAATTGTGTAACAGATGATATCAGACTCAGCAACAAAATAGTATATATCAGTGAGTTAATAACAGAGCAACAGTGTGCTTTACAGAATAGACAACCAGTATTATTCATCCCACCCCACATACTGTTATATATGCTTGAGTTCCTAGTATATTACAAACAAGCTGACACTGTAAATGCACAAACATCACTGAGGGACCTCCAGGCCCCAGTTAACCATGATCAGGGAAAACATATATCCCGATTAGCCAGAGACATATCATGGCAGACCCTAGGGATCTGTCAACAGATCAAAGGGGACCTCCATGACGCTTTATACTCATACTAACAATCACTCAGGCATCCAAGCAATGTAATACAAACTGCTACACTAATAAGAATTATAATATTGATTTACAGACTGCATTTCAGTTATACATTTGAACAATTTAACAACGTTTGACAGCTAGATCCTGGGGAATTGTCAATATATCATAGAGGACCCAAAGGCTGCACATTATTAGCAATAACTCGGAAAATGTCTATTTTGTAAAATACACAGTGACATGTTGTAAAAAATATAAAGAAGTACAGTATACTATGTTTTAGTTAATAAATTTAGTTGCAAAATTATTTGAATTCGTTACAATTTATTCTGCTTGCACATACAAGTACTCCAAAGTTGATATTAAAAAGAAGCTTGAGTTTCTGATTGCCAAAACCTATGTAGGTTATGGAGATCGTCTTCCAACAATCTGTCGAAATTCCCATGGGTAACAATTGTGATCATTTATTAGCAGACCTTTTCTGCATTCATATGAAGCAGAATTTTTTCCAAAACTTCTACATGAAAAGGAAAAGTATTTTGCTGTGGCGTTCAATTCAACATTTAGAAATATCGACGGTGTTTTATCAATTAACAATATTTATTTCTATTCCTACATTGATTTGATATATCCCAATGAACTCAAAAGGTACCACAGAGTTTGACACATCTGTTTCATATTTAGATATATTACTATAACAAGAAGTCAGTGGTAATCTTATTCTAACAACAAAATTCTATGATAAATACAATGACTTCAACTTTTCCATCGTCAACGTCTCTTATTTGTAAAGTAATGTACCCTTATCACCTGCATATAAAGTTAAATTTATGTCTCCAAGTTTATTCGGCATGCAAGAGCATGCTCTATGTATGAGCAATTACTAAAACAAGGTTAGCCATTGACAGACAAGTTGATGAAATGAAATATGAATATATTATGAAACATAATCAAGCTCAAAAGTCCATTGAAACATATTAAATGGGAGCAGAGCAAACACAGACCTGTAAAAACTTCAGAGGTGGGATCAGGTGCCATGGAGGAGTGAGCATCCCCTGTCAACCGGTCACACCCACCGTGTGCTCCTTGTCATGATCGGAAAAACATAAAATACCATAGACAATTCAGTGTGTAAATAATGACCTAACATTTATTATGTAAAATGTCTGTCAGCATTTGACTAAATAACAGTTTGTATTTGCAGATAAGGTCATTGTATCAACCATAAAACTTGCGAAATAATGACTTTAAACAAGATTATTGCTATTCTTGTTTCATCAACTTGATTTTCAATAGCTTGCCTTGTTAAGAAGTTGTTCGTAAGTAGAGCATGTTTTTGCATATCTTATCAACTGGCAGACACAAACCCCATATGCAGATGATAAAGGTATATTGCCACATAAATAAGGGAAGTCAGTGATAGAAAAGCAAGTTTATCTTAGTTAGTTTTGTTGTTAGGTTACCGTTAACATCTTTTTCTAATAATTAAAACTATTTATATATCAACAGACTCATTTAAAGTCAACATTTCCTTAATTCTATGGTCGATACAATGACCTTGTCAGCAATCCATCGTTAAATAGAATGATGACTGATATTTTTCAAACAAATTCTTAGGCCATTTTTTATACACTGAATTGTCTACGGATTTTTCTGTTCGATCATGACAATTTCAGGAGCACACAGTGGGTGTGACTGGTCGACAGAGAATGGTTATTTCTCCATGGCACTTGATCCAACCACTGATGTTTTTAGAGGTCCGTATTTGTTATTCTCCCAATTTGTATTGTTTCAATACAAAAAACCTTAGATGACCAGTCATATTCGGAGCATCTTCTTGCATACTGAGTCAATCATGAGTAATAAACACTATAAGCAGGTGATATCTGGTCACTCTTCTGAAAAATATAGGCCAAATGTAGCATCCAAAACATAATTCCTAGCACCCTTCCCAATCAGCAAGACTGGTCATTTAAGGTAGAACATCTAGTTACTTGGGAATGGACCTGTGCCAAACATTAACTTTCTGATCAGGTACTCAGAAATATAATTGGTCAAATGAGAAGTCAAAAATATAAAAAATACTGGTAGTAAGCATTGTAATTGTCATCATCCAGGTAAGTTTGATCAACATAGGAATAAATTGTTACTTATAAATCTGTGTTATTTGAAGCATCTAAAATCTTATTGTGCTTCTGCAACCAGTTAGCATAGCTATTTTGTGATAGTATCAAATTCATAAAATGCCAATTAAATTGAATGAAATTTTACGATAAACTTTTATTAGAAACCATACGCATTTCATCCCCTGGAGAGCTCTAGCAGGACTTTCAAAAAGATTAGAAACAGACGGTTCTTTTACAAAAATAAGAGGAACCTTTTGGAAGCAATTTTAGTAAAATATGTTATCAAATTTTTCTCCATCAAATATTTTGGCCGGTACAATCATGATTGCAGCCTGGTAAAAGTACTGGGTACTGGCAGATTTTGAAAGGCCTGGCTCTAGTATGTAAGAATCAAAATTCTGAAACTTTGATGCACATCTACAAGTCATAACTATAATCATATGCATTTAGAAAGTATGTTTATTACCATGCAGACTTCATATGAGGAGATGATTTTTTTTAACCATACTGCTTTTGCCCCCTTTGGACCGACATTAAAATGTCTAGTGTCATTATTACACAACTACAGGAATAGGCCGATCAAATCAAAAGAAATTTTTGCCTTTCTCTATTATAGGGGAAGAAACAACAAGACACACGCACCCATCTTATCATTTGCAAAGTCAGTAAATACTGTCACTGAAGTGAAGTATGACTTAGAATATTCATTGTCTACTTCATTAGAAACAATCTATTAATGTTCATGACATTAATCAATGATCGAGCAGAATAATTATTCCAGATATATGTCTTGATAAGCTTGCTGTTGTGTAGAATTTATTTGTTTGACATTGGATGATTTACATTCATCATGTTGATTGCAATCTGGTAACTTAACTTTATGATAAACTTTAATAACTTCAAGTACTTTCAACTTCCCTTATTTATTTAGTAATATACTTTTATCACCTGCATGTGATGTTTATGTCTCCCGGTTGATTCAATACAATATGCAAGAGCAAGTTACTGACAAATAAGTTGGTGGTACCTGCATGGATAACAACAATCTTGTTTAAGGACATTTCAATTCCACGCCTCAAATGTCTTATGTTATAAAATTTTAATGGTGGTGGGTAAAGCAAAGTAAATATTTATCATGTTGTGTCCTTGTGATTTTGCTTTATATTTATTTTAAGGTTAAATCAAAGATTAGTTCTGCAGAAGGGGGAGGGGACCAAAGTAATTTCCTTAAGATGCAAATTTCATGCATGCTCTTTTCCATGTGTAAAAAGGAGAGTAGTTTTATCAATGCAACAAAAATTTAGTGGTTAGGTCTGATAAAAAAAAAATTACAGAGCAAAAGCTGGAACGTTATCTGGTTAAATGTCAACAAAGCTTAATTTACCTTTTGCCCAAGATAGCAGTGCTGTCATCCAAATTTCTGAGTGGTTTAAACTTGGAGAGTGGATTATACTTAATTAGAAAACGAAAGTTTTTCATGTTATTCTTGCAAACTTGTCAATCACGAAGATAAAATTTCTTGACCTGTTTTTGTTGACATACTTTTCTGCTTGAAAGCTTAGAGTGGCCTCCCTTGGTCTAGATCTTCTATCTAACTTACTGCACATGCGCGAAATTCCGAAGCTTTCTTGTTTCCAAGACTGGAAATGTTACAGACTAAATGATTTAAGTTAAGCACGACAACTATTTCTAAAGATGAAGGTTAGTATTCTTTTTCAATACATTTGGTTTGTAAAGAACGCTTGCTTTTTATTTATTAATTTCTTAAAATGAAAACCGAAGGATTCTTTTTGTTTTGCTATTTAGTTCCATTTCGAATTTCCTCAGTGCAAACAGGTGCGACTGACTTCCAAAGACAGGCTTCCGGGCTCTGTTAAATGTTTCTTTTTCTTTCAGAGAGTTTTCAGTTTAAGTAATAAGAACTTTGGTGGCCAAGGAACAATAACATACAGTTGGCAAAGGGCTTTGGGAAACTATCTTGCTACAACAGGGTATGTTTCAGGTTATTTACATGTCTGGCATTGATTTAGTGACAGTTGTTCACAATTAAATATGACAAACCAGATCCTTTGATATATTTGATCAGCACTTTAGCACTCACAGTTGTTACAGTTCCCATAAAAATAAATGTAATTTAAGAACCATACTCTTTACTCTTGTTGCTGAAACAAAAAGTTGGCTTATGGAAAAAAAAGGAAAATTAAACCCTAAATGATTTATAGAATATTCCTTGTTTACCTCTTTCTTTTCTTGTCATACATTGCTTCTTTCAAAGGAAAAGCAAAGAAATCATGTAACGTTTGAATTATTTTTTTTATATTAAGAGCTGACCATGTTGTAAGAATTTACGACAGACATGGTGAACTTAAGGAGGAGATCAATTTACCAGGGTAAGTATCTGTTGTACACATTGAGGAACATTATAAAATTAAATTACAATATATTTAAAGCTGTATATTTTCGTGGAAAATATAATAATTTCAATTCACTCTTTTGTTTGGAATTTTGTTGTATCAAATGTATTATTATGTGTAGATTTATTTTCAAATTATTCAGGCTATTTGGAATCAATTTTACATATCATGGATCTTTCACATATGCATGTTAAAAAAAAAGATTATTAATTTGCATAAGGTTGATTACTGTGATTTCATGTTATTATTAATAGTCAGTTGATTTTTAATGACCTCTCACATAACTTGTGTATTGATCTTCAGCTTATGTGTCGGTATGGGGTGGGACAAAGATGGCGATACACTTGCTGTTATAAATGACAAGAATGGAGTTATCACCCTTTGGGACGCTAACACTATGAGGACCAGTCAGTTAGATAGCGGGCTCAGGTGAGAACTAGTTTATTACTATATAGACATTACATATATCTAGCCCTTTTTATTTGTTTTTTTTTTTAAATTGTAAACTGAAAAATGTCACTTTCACTTTAGAAATTAATAAAGTGATAGCATCTAATTTATTGCATATCCCTCCAAATATTTTAAAGAATTATTCAATGTACACATTGATGCATGCATATACAAAATCCATATGATCTAGTGAATTGATTTTAACCTACAGTTTTTATTGCTTGCATTGTACGTGTATGTTGTAGAGATCTCTAAATGATCACATACTGATCATAAAGAGATCTCTAAATGATCACATACTGATCATAAAGAGATCTCTAAATGATCTCGTACTGACATTGTTTCCCTCTGTTATAGAGATCAGTTGTCCTTTCTTCTATGGGCTAAAGCTGGACCCTATCTGGCCATTGGAACATTCAAAGGAAACCTGATGATCTACAACCACCAGACTTCAAGGTGAGGTTGTCATAAACAAAAGAGCAGCTTTATTTTGCAAACATATATATAAGAATTAAATATATAAGAAAAACAATTAAGAATATGAATCTGTTACAATTTATTCCTGACTTTGTCAAATAGGAAGGTTCCAATTTTGGGGAAGCACACACGTCGGATCACAAATGGTTCGTGGAGCAACGAGAATCTATTGGCTTTGGCGAGTGATGATAATACAATATCTATCAGTAACATTGAGGGTGATACAATCCGACAGACGTCCGTCCGGGCCAATCCTCAGAATGTCCAGTTCTCGGAGATGAAGGGTGACGAGCGCAGTCAGATGGGAGAAAACACGGTAAGATGTTATCACTCTTATACATACAAAAATACTATCACTACCTGCAGATTATGTCTGTATAGCTTGACAGTAGCAGCAAAATTTGCAGAAGATGGGCAAATGTGGACAACCTTTAGAAACTTTATAGTTACTTATTCTAACCAGGTCATTAAAGGGAGTTGATTATTAAAGTTTTTATTAGAGCAGTGTTGTGATTCAAATTTATTTCATTTCTTTGTTTTTAGGTCAGCGTTGTGATTGGGAAGAAGACCTTGTTCCTGTACAACTTAAATGACCCAGAAAATCCCATTGAACTGGCCTTCCAACAGAGATACGGCAACATCATTTCTTACAAATGGTTAGATTTTGTACTGTATTTTCCCTTGCATTGAGGCTTAGGAGATGAAGTATCAATAATGAAGTAAAAATAATAATTTAAAATGTTATTGCCTTGTTCATGTTGTTGCAAGAGGATACTCCTATTTATGGTGATTTCATTAAAAAGTTATAATGATATTTATTTATATTACATATACTGGTGCTTAGATGGTGGATCTTTGCACCTAGAATGAAGTTAAAAATGCCAAGACTTTTTATTATAATAATGTTGTTTTGATAGTGAAGCAAAGCCTAATCGTGCTTCAATCCATCTCAGACTTATACAGCATGTATTGTATGAAGAGCCATATGCTCAACTCAGAGATATAAATATACCAGGTTGAATTCAATGTTGCTCTCAATTGCAGTATCTTTATCCAACATTTACTTCAGTTACAAGTGGGTAAGTTGAGTTTTCTTGCTGCTCTGTAGGTATGGAGATGGATACATCATGATTGGATTTTCACACGGCTACTTTGTTGTCATCTCAACTCATATGAAAGAAATTGGACAGGTAAGATATTTACTGATGCACTCTGCTCAGGTACATTTGTATATGAAAGTGACTTGTTTTACCTTGTTCTTCCCATCTATTCCTGCTTGGACATGTAAGTTTATATTGTTTAAAGATTATGCGTGTATTTGTAGGAGCTGTTTCAAGCTCGGAACCACAAGGACAACTTGACCTGTATAGCCATTTCTACTGCCCTCAACAAGGCTGCCTCCTGTGGCGATAACTGGTAAGGTTATGAATTACAAGTAAACCATGTTATTTGACAGCTGGAAAAAAGCCAAACATGAGAATGATTACTTTGCAGAGAAATTCTAACTCATTATGCTCAAGTCACTCAAGACTAGCAGGGAAACAATCTACTTTACAAGACTTGAGTAAAATGTAGATTATATTTGCAGATTCTACTTCTTATAAAGGGAATTGGAATTTATTTTGATTGCTGCAGACCATGTTAATGTAAGGAGAAAGTTTACCATTTGTAATTCCAGATTTATTTTTGTCTTAACAGCATTAAGATCCATGACCTTTCTGACCTTAAGGAGATGTTTGCTATTATTAACATGGAGGATGAGCGTGGCCTTGACCAGCTGAACTGGTCAGATGATGGTCAGTTACTAGCGGTGTCCACACAGAAGGGAAACCTCCACGTCTATCTGACCAGGCTACCCATGCTGGCCTCTGCTTACCAGACCCGCATTGCTCACCTGACATCTCTACTGGAGGTCACCATAGAGGACAATGTACAGCAGGTAATGTACTGTTCACTTGAAAAGTTTTGGGAGAAATAAGATATATCTATAAATTAAGGTACAAGAGGAGAGGCAAAACCAAGATTGTGGAGTATAGCCCAGAAAATATAAATAAGGCATGTATAGCTCACTTGAAAATGTACAGTAAGATGTGTGCAGTTTGCCTGATAGTATATGTATACGAATACTTGCATATTTTATTTTACTATTCACCTAATGAATAAAAAAGATTTAGCCACAATTGTAATAAAAAGTAGATTTTTAGTGTTATAAGCACTGGTTGTGCTTTCTTAATATTCACAAAATCGTAAGCTCTTGACATTCTGTGGACCATGAAGTGTCAGCACTGTGAGTTGTTTCTATGGTATTGTTATTTATATCACTCTGTTGTAGGACCAGCCCCTGACTATTCCAATAGATGTAGAGCCGACCTTTATAGGGATAGGGCCCTACCATCTGGCCTGTGGAATGAACAATCGGGCATGGTTCTATCTCCTTGGAGATGCAGGTTCGTTTAATAAAATCTTATTATATAGAGAAATAATGTAAATTAATATACTTATTTTAGAAAAAATCTTATCCTCTTTGATTGTATCATTGTGTGGGACCTTATTAAATGATGCCTCATTATTTGTGACAGGCATTGAGAGACTGAAGGACAGGGAATACCTAGGCACCGTTAATCACATCTGTCTGAATGCTGACTATGCTGCTGTAGGGTTTGAGGGAAAAGTTCAGCTCCACATGGTAATGAGATGGTTCCTCTCTTTGTAACTGAATCAGGCATTTAATAATTAAATATACATGTCCTGTACAATGTTTTTCACACATGGAAATATATACAGTGGCGCCTCGTTTATCCGGACGCCTCTGTCCCCAACGAAATCGTCCGGATAAATGAATCGTCCGGATAATTGGATCACATCTCAAAAAGCACTCTCTAAGCATGTATATATGCACATTTTTGTTTCAAATGTGACAGCAAAGAAAAAAAATTAAATTATATTTTGGTTAATTGTTTTAAAAGCAGTAATTGATTAATGAAAAAATATATTAAAATGTAATTTACACAATAAAAAAAAAAATGGATGGGCAATTTTATTCTGAGACCTCCTTTTTTAATTCGCCTTCTCTTTGGCATGTGACTTCATGGGTTGAGCAAATTTTGATCTACTGTTGTTTAATTTTGCCATATATTATAATTATTGAAGCTCATATGATATGACAGAACTGTTCAGCATCATCATTGAAAATGTTCAAATATAAACTAACCCTGTATATTCCCCGTATATATTCATTACACAGAGTTACTATAAAATTAACTGAACACTGCAAGCTAACTCAAACAAAGTTTAAAAACACAAGCCATCTTCAAGATTATCAATATTATTTTTTTCTACAGACGCTAAGTTTGAATTTCGATCATTAGAAAATACCTTGAAAAACGTAATCAACTTCTGTACGTAACACCATTTTTATATGTACTGGACGTTTGTAAACTGTAATACATTAAATAGAGATATTTCTTCAATTATGTACCTTTCTATACTGTCTTGTGGGGAAAAAAGCGTTTGAATTTACCAATGTATATACAGTTAATTAACAAAATGATTTTGAACGGATTATTATTTAATTAATGCACAGTGTCAGTTAAATTCTTTGAGCTTTATAATAAAGATAAACATGTGATTGAAATGGGGTAAACACATGCTAATTATCGACGCTATTGTTTGTACACTGTTGTAGGTCACAGGTAACCGCCTTCAAACTGACTGCATGGCCAATGTTTTTACAACAATTAACACGAATGCCAGATAAGTGTGAAAAAGTCGTTTCTTGAAAAATTACCGTCTGGATAAACGAGTCATTTTTGAATGAACTGTTATGTTTTGTAGTAGAAATTGACCGTCCGGATACGGAACGTGAATTTCCGGATTAATGAGACAAAATAACGTGGAAAAAATCGGTTCCCAAAAAATATCGTCCAGATGGTGAAGCGTCCGGATAAATGGCGTCCGGATAAACGCGGCGCCACTGTAGTTAATTATAGGCAGTTCCTTCTGTAATTTATGGTAAAAATCTCAAGATTTTGAATTTATTTCCCCATTAAGGTGATATGACTACTGTACATATCCATGTAAAATTGTTCCCAGTAAGTACACATACATGACTGTACATTTAGCTTGGAGAATTATTTTGATTTTCTTTTTGTGGACAGATTGAGGGAGAGACAGCTGGTACAACAGATGAGCGTGAGACTCGATTGTTTCCCGAGACGAGTCAGGATGACTCCCGAGTTACCTGTCATGACCTTACCAATGACTTTTTGATCTACGGGACTGATGTAAGATAAAGTTATCATATGTATCAAGAAAAGTTTAATACTTATATATTAATTACTTGCACACACTTTCTTAAGTCATCCAAAAAAAAATTGCAGAACAGAGTACATATTATAAAACTGTAATTTTATTTCTAAAAAATGAGCTTGTTTTGGTGCCATGTGAAAATAATGTTACTACTATTTCAGAATGGTGGAATTAATTACTTTTATGTGGAGGACTGGAATTTTGTGAATGAGTTTCGACATGTGGTGGGAATTCGGAGGATCTTTCCTGACCACAGCGGTACACGACTGTTGTTTATTGATGAGAAAAGTGATGGATTTGTCTATAATCCAGTAAGTCTGCAACAAAAATAGAATGGTAAAACCCATGTCCTTCTAGTGTTTATCTTTGTAATTAAATTTACATTTTGTAAATGTAAATCTTTTGTTCATGGGAGATATTTGACATTTTTCAGGTGAATGACCAGGTTCTAGACATCCCACAATTCTCTTCCACCACAAAAGGTGCATTATGGGAAAACTGGGCTGGCGACAAGGTAAATACATGTGAAGAGGAATAACATACATGTACTTATACTGTCTTAGAGACTTGATACCTGTACTTTTTGCTCCAGTTTCTATCTCATTACAGTCATATCGCTCTGCATTACTCTTATCATTTAAAATCACAGTTATGTGTAAAGAAAGTGTATTATTTTCATTTTTTCAGGAATATATGGTTTGTTGTAAATTTTTAAAAGAGATTTCAATATCTATATAATTGATGTTTCATTCTTATTGTTGAATGTGTCTTATTTGTTTTTAATTAGTATTTTGCATTTTTTTTGAAAGTTTAAATATTGTTATTTATTGGGATTTTTTAATGACCAAGAACATGCATTTATTTTATAATAGTAATTTGTACGAAAAATTTCTTGAAGATCAAGCAACCTTGCTGATATAAAGTGTCAAAAATATAATTGTATTTAAAAGTGCTCACCCCTTTTTCTAAATGAGTGTATTGTCAAGAACAATTTTTTTGACATGAGTACGTGGTCATGCCATAGTAATACATAGAAACCTGAAGAATGAATAATGTATAGAAAAGTAAAGAATAAATAATTTATCCTGATTAACTATCACTTGACTTTCAGGGTGTGTTTATTACTTATGATGAAGAGAAGATTTACACATACCTGTACTGTAGAGAATCCACCAAGGGTACGTAACTCTCTTAAAGTATAAAATTGTCTAATTTTTTCATCTTTCTATTTCTCTTTGCTGATAATGTTTGAATTTTCTTGTATTTTCATTTAAAATAATTTTGATGATTCTCTTCTCAGGCCCGACAGTGGAGTATGTGGGGGATTCTAAGCTTCCCTACGGAATGATTCCCATCATGCTTTACAATGGGGAGATAACTCTACAGACACAGAGTGGGCGTGTCCAGACCCAGATTCTGGACACCCACACAGCTCTGTACACAGAGAACATGGAGGATATGACTCAGGAGGAGGTAATTATACTGATTGAATATTTGGAAATATGCCAGCTTAAGGTCTGTGTGCGGGAAAGCAGACTGAGCTTACAAGGTCCGCATTTGCACAAAGACCAAGAACAGGCACATTCCCCTATATTCAGTCAACAAACTTTTAACTCTATAGTCTATACATGTATTTTAATGCCCGTGCATTTTTTCCAAATTACTTAAATAGAATCTCTTTGGGTTTTTGTTCCTAAACATCCTTACAATATTGATTGCTGCCAGTACAACAGATATTTGTGATGTCATGTGTCCATTTATGTGATGTTGTTAAGAATGAAGAGATGAGAAAATATACATGTATTATGAAGTTGTAAACATAAAAAGTATTCCCCAGCATTTACATTGCAGGCTGATGTGGTTCTGTAATAGCCCATATTCCCTCTCTATAGAATCAACTGAGAAATATTTCAGAATATTCATTAACTATAATTATTTGTTTGTTTGTTAAAATTGCCAATAACAACTGATTTTATTGTTTAGGAAATTATTTTTGTTGCTGGTAATTTTCAGGTAAAAGATGGATTGAAACAGGGCATCGCTATTAGAAGGTAATATTTGTCAATGTTTTGAAGCACTTGTTCCTGACTTCACTTTGTTATCACTTGATGAGTCATATAAACTTCTGTCAGATAAGTAAATTTGTGAAGGAAAATGACTGCAATTTTTTTTTTATTAATGTTTTTTTTTATTGACTGTGTATGTTTCCTTTATAAAATGAATGATTGTTGATTGGGTTTAGATTCAAAGAAGCCTGGAGTTTCTGTGAGAAGTTGAATGACATGGTTGCTTGGTTACAGCTAGGACAGGCTGCCATGCAGGCCATAGAGATTGATTATGGTGAGTCTATTTAGAGGGAAAAACATCTTCATGTATAAAATCTCTAAAGATTGTACTGTGAGGTTTGATAGATAAAGGTATTTGATTAGCAGCATTTGGAATACCTTCATGTACATATATATTTACTCTTGTTGTTAAAAAAACCTTTTAATGATGCAATAGTTTTCTAAAGTCTGAAGAGGACTACTTGTACATATAATATGAAACTTGGATAGTAATAAAATAAATTATGATTGATTGATTGATATTTTTCCCTTTCCAGCCATAAGAGTTTACAGAGAAATAGCAGATGTTGGCATGGTAACCTCACTTCACCAGGTCAAGGTAAACATTCCACAAAGTCTGAAATAGAAATAGTAAACAAGGTCATCACTACAACAGGTCAAGGTAAACATTCTACAAAGTCTGAAATAGAAATAGTAAACAAAGTCATCACTACAACAGGTCAAGGTAAACATTCTACAAAGTCTGAAATAGAAATAGTAAACAAAGTCATCACTACAACAGGTCAAGGTAAACATTCTACAAAGTCTGAAATAGAAATAGTAAACAAGCTCATCACTACAACAGGTCAAGGTAAACATTCTACCAAGTCTGAAATAGAAATGGTAAACAAAGTCATCACTACAACAGGTCAAGGTAAACATTCTACAAAGTCTGAAATAGAAATATCAAAACAAAGTCATGCAACATCTGTTTGAGATGCTAGCTGTTTTGAATTTTTTTTGAAATATACAAATTACACTGTACAGTAGCAATAGATTTTAGTTTTAATGCTCCAAAACTGTCATGGGCAAGTTTCAATGTCATATACATGTAATTTATACAGTCATATTATTATGTAAATATAAATCAGAAGTAGAGAGTATACATATATACATAAAATATTAGAAGTAATGGTTTTCAATATTTCAGCATCTTGAAGATAAGAACTTGCTGTCAGGATATGTAGCCATGTTTCTAGGAGAATTTAATCTGGCACAAGATTTGTTCCTAACATCAAGTAAACCACTGGCTGCTCTAGAGGTCAGTATTTAGTTTTTTAAATTTGCAAGGTTCGTTAAATACATGTGATTAAATTATTGAGTAAAGAAGTAGATGTATTTATGTGAGAATTGAAGACAACTTCATTAGTAAGATTATGATCCCTCCTCCCAGAGCTACTGTAGACAGAAATTATTATAAAAATGCAGCCACACCCCTCCCCCCCCCCCCCCCATTAATATACATGTACAAATATACAGAAGAAAGTTTGTTTTTATTGTGTTAACTTGCACTTCTTCAGATGAGACGTGACCTACTACACTGGGACAGTGCTCTCCAGCTCGCCAAAGCTCTGGCCCCTGAGCAGATTCCCTACATCTCACGCGAGTATGCTCAGCAGCTCGAGTTTACTGGGGACTACATGACAGCGCTGTCTCACTATGAGAAGGGTGTGACTCGAGAGGAGAAGGATCGGGAGCATGATGAAGTGTGTGCTGCTGGGATTGCTCGGATGTCAATCAGGATGGGAGATATCAGAAGGTAGGAACAATAGTGCCCTCTGGTGGTCAGAAATACAACAACACGTATCAAATGGGCACAGCAAGATTATTTTTCAATGTTAATAGATGTACACTTAAAATGTCAGGAAAATGTTATCGTTTTCAAAATGTATATCTAGCAGAAGTTGAATTTTAAAAAAAAATCTTTTTTCTGACTATTCTCTTTTACATGTATTTTTGTTTTTATTTTTCAGAGGTGTTTCCATGGCAATGAAAATGCCCAGCAGAATTTTGAAAAAAGAATGTGCAGGAATATTAGAAGGCATGAAGGTAGCCCTTAATCACATTACACATTGAAGGTTCAATTTAAACACTATTTTTTTCCATTTTGTTTAATCACTGTTTTTTCTTTCAGCAATGGACGGAGGCTGCCACTCTGTATGAACAGGGAGGGTATTATGACAAGGCTGCCTCAGTGTACATCAGAGGCAAAAACTGGTACGTTATTTAAAAAAGTCCTTATTCAAAATTACTGAGTTCTAGTATACCCATACCTCAGTTGCAAGGAGAGCATCAGTCATCATAAGGCATAATTTAATTGGTCTTTGTATCTTGTAATAGCCAATCATACATGGAAATGTGATATTGTTTCTTTAGAAACAAGTACATATGTACCTGCATGTTTTGATGAAAGTACTGTACTTTGATGATCATTCAACTTAAATTTGTTCCACGTGTAAAATAACATGGATTCTAGTAAATTTATGCATGTTAATTAAGACTTTAACACATCAGTGGTTGATAAATTGTGTTTAATTTGCAGGTCTAACTAAAGGATGGAGATTTATTGTGTTTAATTTGCAGGTCCAAGGTTGGAGATTTATTGTGTTTAATTTGCAGGTCTAAGGTTGGAGATTTATTGTGTTTAATTTGCAGGTCTAAGGTTGGAGATTTATTATCCCACATCACATCTCCGAAGATCCACATCCAGTACGCGAAAGCCAAGGAGGCAGACGGTCGATATAAGGAAGCTGCGGAGGCTTATCGGAATGCCAAAGACTGGGATAACGTCATCCGGATTAACCTGGATTATCTCCAGAATCCAGAGGAGGCTGTCAAAATAGTCCGCGATACCCACTCCATAGAGGGCGCTAAAATGGTTGCTAAGTACGTAACATTTCTATGGTTATTGATTTAAGTCTAACTGAAAAGCTGTTTACAACTTATGTCAATTGTCAATCAATATGCTGCATGTTTATAGAAGAAAAAAATTGTTTTGATGTTTCCTCATTTAATCATTTTAATGGTTGTCATTATTTTGCAGATCCTGAAATGATAAACTATCACAAAAATTTTTGTTAAATTTTATGTCTTGATGAAAATATTGTAAAAATGTAAATGGGAACAGAATTTTAGTTGGACAAATTGAAATGATATATGACATTTATTATGAAGTAAAATTTTGCTTTTAGATTTTTCCAGAGACTAAATGATTATTCCTCAGCTATCCAGTTCCTTGTTATCTCCAAGTGTAACGACGAGGCATTCCAACTGGCACAAACCCACAACCAAATGGAGACATATGCTGAGATTATAGGTAACATTTGTTCATACTGTACATGTACAATTTTCTGTGTGTGAAAAATAATTTCAAAGTTGAGGAGTGTCAAACACTTGGATATATTCTTAGTTCTTGTACTAGACATTCTTCATCAGTTGTTTCTAAACCAAGAAGGCTCATTTGAGTTTACTGATAGCTTAAATTGGGTTTTTCCATCAGCAATTTGGCAATAAAAGATAATGTATCATTAACTGTTTTTATAACAGTTTTTAGTAAGAATACATTACAAATACATTTATACATAGATCCACATCCATTCTGATGGATTAACACTTCTAGAATCTGATTTTGATGTATCCTGTACATGTACTCACTTTTTGTTTTTCTCTGTAGGACCTGATTTTGATGTACCCTGTACATGCACTCCCTTTTTGTTTTTCTCTGTAGGACCTGATTTTGGTGAACCCTGTACATGCACTCACTTTTTGTTTTCCTCTGTAGGACCTGATTTTGATGTACCCTGTACATGTACTCACTTTTTGATGTACTCACTTTTTGTTTTCCTCTGTAGGACCTGATGCTACACCCGAGGACTATCAGAGTATCGCTTTGTACTTTGAGAATGAAAAGAACCATTTCATGGCAGGAAAATTCTTCCTTCTGAGTGGGCAGTACAGCAGGGTAGGATTCCAGCAATATAATCTTATTTTAGAGAAAATGTGTTCAACTGATATCGTTCATGCATTAGATTCCGTCATTTTGAAATATGAAATGACTTAGTTTAAAAATTTTGTATCAAAATTTTGTTAAATTTTATTTAAGTACATGTATTTTAATTTTCATTGTTTTTTCCACAAAAATACATTCAAACATATAGTAACTTGCATAATAATCTAAACTCATCATACTCTGTATTTGATATATCAGTTCATGCTTGATGAAAAAAAAAAAGGTTTACCACAGTTATTCTGACTAAGAGACTAACCATATGATTACCTTTCAGGCTCTGAAGCATTTTGTAAAGTGTAGTGGAGAAGATGGTCAGGCCATTGAGTTAGCCATTGAAACCGTGGGACGAGCAAATGACGAGTCTCTGACCCGAATGTTGATTGATTTCCTGATGGGAGAAACGGATAATGTTCCCAAGGTAAAATGGAGGTCTATTATAATCAAAAATCAGAAAATTTGAATAGAATATGTTTGCAGTTTTGCACCAAAAGAAGTTTAAAAGAGATGAATAATAAATTTAGATAATTTCAAATTCACCAGTCCATGAACCAATCCTTTTTTTATGTTGTGGGAAAATAATCATGCCTTTATGAAGCATGTCTAAGCACATATGCCTTATTGCAGTTTTATATTGACATTTGCATCATTCAGAATTTCTTTATTTCTCTGTTAGGATGCCAAGTACCTGTTCCGTTTGTACATGGCGCTGAAGCAGTACAGGGAGGCTGGTAGAACAGCCATTATCATTGCCAGGGAGGAACAAAATGCTGGTCAGTTTGTAACAGGCTTACACTGTTATTTTTCTACACTGTTGTTTTTATATACTGAACAATCCAATTTCTGTGATGTCCTGGTTCGATAAAAAAATATCAGTCCATATTATTGAGGTCTAGGAAGCAAAACTAATTAACTCATCACTCTCTCGAAATTGACCATCAGGATCGGGATCATGGAAATTTGGCTGCTTTTTAGGTTTTTTTAAGTGTATAATTACACTTATTACATTCATGAATATTTAGAAAGGGTGTTTATATTACTTAGATACATTTTTGGAGTAAAAATATGCATGTATGAATATGGTTTTCTACATATCTATACAAGTATATGTTACTGTAATGGAAATTTGGACGAGGTGTCACAGTGATAAAAGTTTTGTTAAAAGATATCAGTCAACCTCAATATTCAATAAAAAATATAACTGGCATTATGCCACTGGTATATACAAATAAATATCTAGCCTACATATATTCAATACATTGTTAAAAAACTATTTCACAGGTAACTACAGAAATGCCCACGATGTCCTGTTCAGTATGTATAAAGAACTGATGCAGCAAAAGATCAAGATTCCAACAGAAATGTCTACAAACCTGATGATTCTCCATAGTTACATCCTTGTCAAGGTCAGTCCATCCAGGTCAAGGTCATACAACATCCTAGTCAATGTCAAACACTGTCACATTAAGGTTGCAGGCATTTTATGGCTGTTTTAAAAGAATTTGAATGATTTACATTGTAGATAATAAATTCAATTATTCAACATGAAATTTTTTAAAATGTACAGATGTACAAAATTTAATGTACTTTTTTCATATGTTTACTAGATTCACAAACATGAAAAAATAAACTAAGGGGAGCTTTTAAGCATATCATAAATGTATCATTCTACTTCAGATCCATGTTAAGAGAGGGGATCACATAAAAGGAGCCAGGATGTTAATCCGAGTGGCCAACAACATCAGTAAATTCCCCTCACGTGAGTATATACAATCATTGGTCACTTCTTATCAAAATATTGTCTAGAATGCCTACTCAATCTGAATTTAACATCAGGATGAATGTTTCTACATTACATTCTCCTTTTCTTCTTCTTGTCAGTTGGAAAAAGTACAGTAGATGGAAAAATGTCTAAATATGATAAACGACAAAATCCATATTGATATTACTGTAAAATAATTCTTTTGTCTGAATTTTACTAATCCTATACAGGGAGGAGAAATCGCGTAGGATTATCTTGTGAATATATACATTGTGTATCAATTTTCAAAATAATTTTGGAATGAATGACAGAATTGCAATTTAAAAAACGCTGCAAAGAAAAGCTCTCTGTATCAGCAAGTCAAGGTTAGCTGACATTTTGCTAAGTGAAATAATTAACACTGGGATAAATGACTATCATTTTTAATCAAAGTAAAAAGATATTTTTGTGTAAATTCTCCTCGCAAGGTATGCTGAAATAGTGTGAATGTCATTTACAGATTAGATTTCTTTTCAAAAATCATTTACATCATTGAATAAAGCAACATTTTTGAAAAGTGAACAGAGGCATCATGAACCCTAAATGTCACATATTCAAAATACATGTACATGTATGGATTCTCTAGTAAGCAGTAAATTTTTGGTACTCAACATAAATTGATAAGAACTACTGTTGTGTTTTATTGGACAGATATTGTACCCATTCTGACATCCACGGTCATTGAGTGCCACAGGGCGGGGCTAAAGAACTCCTCCTTCAGTTACGCAGCCATGTTGATGAGACCTGAATATCGTAACAACATTGACCTGAAATACAAGAAAAAGATTGAGATGATTGTGAGGAAGCCAGACAAAACAGAGGAAGAGGAGCCACTGACTCCGTGTCCGTACTGCAGCTTCCAGCTCCCAGAGACCGCGCTAATGTGTCCAGAGTGTAAAAATAACCTCCCTTACTGCATCATCACGGTGAGTTAGCCCTTTTATATACTGTTTTGGCTTTTCCTGTATAAAAATTAGGGATGTCAAAATATTTATTTTCTTTAGTCAAATATTCTATTGCATTTTTCGAACGATAGTCAAATGTATTCGCAACTTTTTCGGAAACTAAAATTTAATTTCAAACGTCACTGGTACATGGCATATTTAACCCAAAATCCCCTTTTTTAAAATTTAATGTTGCACACAGATGTTCACATGGACCTAAAATGTGGATAGTGTGTTTATATTTACTAGATATAGACCACTAATTTCTCCTTAATGTATAATTTCCCCATCAATCTTGTTCATAAATCGGTCTGTAAAGTCGGTTTTAAAATGACAGTACGATATATTTTTTTAAAGCTTATCAGAATGATTTGTGGGGGGGGGGGGGGGGGGGGGGGCACACACAGTGTCTGTGATAATGTTAAATATTTGAATATACTTTTTGTTATAACTATCAAAATGTCTTTAAAATAGGCTGCATTTCAAAATAAAAATTGTCGGAAATGAAATTTAAAAATGTCGGAAATGCTATTCAAAATTCCGGAAATGAAATGCAGCGTTAAAAAATGTAAAAGGATATTAATTTTATAGTAAATTAGTGTCCAAACATGTCACGGCTATAATGGTTACATGGTATGAAATCAAGTCAAATTAATAATTTTACAAAGAAAGCACAATATAGCAAGATAATTTCATTACAAAAACAACACATTAATTGACAAGTAATTCTTGCGGAAGTGAAGCATTTCTAATGACTGTACTCTCTACAATGTACATGTAAAGTCAGCAGTTTTTAATGAGGAAAATTATTTTATCGACCGTGTCTGAGGAAAGACGGTTACCTAATTTTAGGATGAGAATTCCATCTCTTTATCACTCTTTTATTGAATTTATTTATTCGAATGTCGTTTCGTTATTCGATCGTCAGTCCATTCGACTGATAGTCAAATAGTCAACTATTTGTTGACATCCCTAGTAAAAATAAATTCAAGTACTGCATTGTCACAGTGACGTATCCCCCCTTAGGGTTCTTGTTTCTCCAGAGTAAAAATAAATTTCTGTACTGCTTTGTCACCATAGTGTACTGGCTTCTCCAGTGTAAAAGTAACTTCCCATCCTGCATTTGCATAGTGAGTCAACACCCATAAAAAGTGCACTGACTTTTCCAGTTTGTGAATAATCATTATAATTATTATATTGTCTCTGTGACCATAAGTTAACCCCTTTATGGAATTGACATGATGTGTCCATGGTGTAAAAGACACCTACCTTAGTGTATTATCACATTTTACTCTCATGACTGTTCTAGTATCAAACAAGCTTATCTTTTAAAAAGATTGGTGAGCTAGCGCTGTAGCATAATAAAATACAGAAGAAGATATTCGAACCATTTGTTAAATTTGCTGAATCGATTAATTATTAATAGGAAGGCAGATTGGTGCACTGGGGTTGAGTTGGGGGGGGGGGGGGGGGTCACAATTCAGAATGGTGATTGTGCTTCACGTCGGCAATGGCATAACTCCTAACTGTGCTTTAAGCATTCTGTATTTTACTGTAATTTCAATTTCGAAGTGAAAAATAAAAGGTCAGTAGAACCAATTAGCACCTTCGAGCCTTTCCAGAAAGCTCGGAAAACATATCCGAGGTTGCCGCGGTTTTCCGAGCTTGCTGGAAAGATCCATATGAAGGTAGATTAGAAAAGCTATGTATTCATTACAACTTTAGAAATAACAGTCTTGGTTTTATAAGACCAGAGTTACTGTTACTTTTTGTTCATTTATGTGCAGGTTAGACAACAAAACACGAAACTTCAGATCATATGTATTTTCAGATGATAAACACTAAATTGACATGTCTTTCCGATATACTCTGAAAAATATTTTTGTTGTTGTTGTTGTTTTTTCCGAGCTTGCTGGAATTATCCACTAAGGTGGTAAAACTGTAAGGAAAGCTAGATGTCTAGAATCTTGACATTATATGGCCAAATTTTTTCTTGTACTTTTATGTGTAGGTTAGACAATACATTTAAAAAATTCAGAATCCAGATCTAGACGGTATTGACTGTCTCTAACCTACGAAATGTATATCTCGCATATCAGACAGGAAAGGCCAATGTAAATTCGGATCATTTCTATCTTTGTATGACAAAAACGAAATTCTTATCGTATAGTCTATCTACGGTAGTTTTCCCAGAATCCCCGACCGTGAAGTCGAGCATGCGTACTGTAGATTCCTTATTTTACGCGAGTACTTAATATCGCGAAATGGTCCAAGGGCATCAAATCGCGAGAACAATAATTCGCGAATGGGTGATTTATCTAGAGATTTTACATACATTAAAGCACCATAAAAATAAAAGCGAGTAATTTTATTTCGCGAGTGGTGCTTCTCGCGTAATTACGTGATAATTAATTCCTCGCGTATATTTAGGAATCTACAGTATTTCAGAAATATAGACTAACGTAGTTGCTAGCGCTCGAGAGCGCTAGCAAATATTGTACCAGTCTCCCTTCCTGCTATGTTAGTGTGGTGCAAGTGCACAGAATGCCTTCCATCCATCTACATTACATATTGTAGACATTGCTTACCAACATTTACATGTATTTATTTTGCTCTCTCAGGGACGCCATGTGGTGAAAGATGACATGACAGCCTGTCCCAAGTGTGATTTCCCGGCCATCTTCTCCGAATTCATCAAGTAAGACCAATTAATGCATATTATAATGTCTGTAAAGTTGTTTTATTTATAATTTACATAGTATGTGCCAAAGGAAATACTAATAATTGTATTTTTCTTTAAATAGATTGCTGGAGACTGAGGAAAATTGTCCAATGTGTTCCGAGAAAATCATCAAGGAAAATTTACAGAAAGTGTCGGATGTGAATAAATATCTTCATCCAGAGGAAGGCACTGTAGAATAACAACTTCTACCTGTCAGTGAATCGCACTCAATTTTAATGACAGATTAATGACTTCCCCAATATATGTGTGACAGAAGGACAAATAAAAGACTGTTCCATTGTTTGTGTGATAGTAGGTTACATATCAGTTGTCTCTGTGATAAAAATGTGTTTTGATTGTGTCTGTTGTTAAGATTATTGTTACACAAAATTCCGTCCAATGTCTGTACTTCAAATTTTTTCAGAACTGGACATAGATCTGAATAAATATTTGCGATTCAGATTTTGTGGTTTGAATATCAGATCATTCTAAAGGGCTCGCAAGAAGTGATGATGTAGAATCTTTAGTTTTTATTTTTAGGTCACCTGAGTCACTCAGGTGACCTATTGCTATCTCTTTTCATCCGTCGTCGTGTGTCGTCCGTAAACTTTTGAACATTTTCAGCTTCTTCTCTGGAACCAGCAAACCAATTTCAACCAATTTTGGCAAATAGCATCTATGGGTGAAGGGGAACAAAAATTGTGAAATTCGTGGCCCCTGCCCCCCTGGGGCCTGAGGGGTGGGGCCAAAACCATCAAAATTAATGCAATCTTTAAAAATCTTCTTCTTTACTCCTGGACATCAAGCAGTCAAACTGTTGGCATGATTGTAATAAGCATTGAGCCCTCTACCAAAATTGTGAAATTCATGGCCCCAGGGTCAGGAGTTCTGGTGCTAGGGCGGGGCTATATAGATCATATAGTGAAAGTGCATTGTTTCTTTGAAAATCTTCTTCTCTACTCCTGGGTATTATTGAAACAATTTGAATACATAGTTATGATAGCAAGAGTGACCCTACCAAAATTGTGAAATTCATGACCCCAGGGTCAGGGGTTCTGGTGCTAGGGCGGGGCTATATAGATCATATAGTGAAAGTGCATTATTTCTTTGAAAATCTTCTTCTCTACTCCTGGGTATTATTGAAACAAATTGAATACATAGTTATGATAAGCAAGAGTGACTCTACCAAAATTGTGAAATTCATGACCCCAGGGTCAGGGGTTCTGGTGCTAGGATGGGGCTATATAGATCATATAGTGAAAGTGCATTATTTCTTTGAAAATCTTCTTCTCTACTCCTGGGTATTATTGAAACAAATTGAATACATAGTTATGATAAGCAAGAGTGACTCTACCAAAATTGTGAAATTCATGACCCCAGGGTCAGGGGTTTTGGTGCTAGGGCGGGGCTATATAGATCATATAGTGAAAATGCATTATTTCTTTGAAAATCTTCTTCTCTACTCCTGGGTATTATTGAAACAAAGTAAATACATAGTTATGATAAGCAAGAGTGACTCTACCAAAATTGTGAAATTCATGACCCCAGGGTCAGGGGTACTGGTGCTAGGGTGGGGCTATATAGATCATATAGTGAAAGTGCATTATTTCTTTGAAAATCTTCTCTACTCATCAGTCAGGGGCATAATGCAAACAAGTTATTGTCAAAAATAACTCAAATGAGTTATTTTTTTGTCACAGTGAGTTACCTCTCTTTGCTATGACCTACTTTTTCCCAGCATTAGTAACTGTGACAAACACGTTATCTTTCCAAAATAGTTTCAATAAATTAATAACTTGTTTAAGTTATTTTGTGTCATTCCTTCCTAACTTCACACCCTGTGCACCAAAGGTTTTTGCTCGTGCACCAAGACAAAAACAAATGTTTGATTAAATATAAACCTTGCTCAATCGAGAAAAAATCTTCAAAGTCTTGGGAAAATTGGGGGAAGTTTTTTATTTAATGATAAAAATTGTACATATAAACCGTGTAAATAAAACCAGAAAATAAGGATTAAAATGCTGTTTATCTCCACCTCCTCACCAATTCTCTATTGGAGTCGGTGCACTCCATCTAGTTTTACATAATGGAATCCCAAAATGCAATACATATTGGCAGGAAATACAAAACTTCCAAGAAATCAATGTCCAAGTAGGATATAAAAATAACTTATATTAGTTCTTATTAAAAAAACTTTTGTGTGTGTAAAATAACTTATTTAAGTTATTTTTCTGATAACTTGTTTGAGTTATACCCCTGAATGCTCATGGTTATTATTTAAACAAATACATGATTATGATAAGCAAGGGTGACTCTACCAAAATTGTGAATTTCATGACCCCTGGATCAGAGGTTCTGATGTTAGGGCGGGGCTCTATTTATTATATATCGAAAATGCTTTAAAAATCTTCTCTGCACCTGGGCATATCAGAGGCAAAAAAGAGTAAAAGTTTCAATAAGGAAGGGTATTTTTACCAGATTTTTGAACATGATCAGGACCATTTGGTCAAGTGTTCTGGTCCAGGCCAGGGCTCTATTAATTTGTATTTTACTGAGAGGAGTTATTCCCCTTTGCCATTTAGGTGTGATAATTAATCACTGTAAATAATGTACTTGAAAGGTTAATAGAATAAGAGAATTATGCAAGAATTTTTATTGTATAATACAAAAAGTACTTTCATAGTTTTAATGATCAGGTAGACTTGTAAGTAATAGATAAATAAAAATGAGACAAAAAAAACTTGTCTTATTAAATGTTCATCAAAGACCAAGAGAAGCCAATGTAACAATTCAACAATTTCAACAAGGAATTAATAGAGTACAGAAGCACTGATAGTTTGTTTTTATACGCCCGTCTGTAGACGGGGCGTATTATGTTATGGCGTTCATGTCCGTCCGTCTGTCCGTCCGTCCATCTGTTAGCTTTTATCGTGTCCGGCTCATAACTTTAATACTATTAGGCCTGGGATTATCAAATTTTGTCAGCTGATACTTCTTGGGTAGAAGGTGTGTCACACATTGAAAGTAGGTCGCTCTGACCTTTAATTAAGATGCTATGGCCAAATATGGAAAAATCCTGTCCGGCTCATAACTAGAAAACTATAAGACTTAGAATCACCAAACATGGTCAATTTATGCATCTTAGGTAGAAGGTGTGTTGCAACCTCTTTCAAGGTCACTGTGACCTTTAATTTAAGTGAAATTTAAAAAAAAAAGTTTTTTACTATTAGATTACACAATCCCAAAAAATGCAAGAGTGTTGCAGTATCCTTATTAAAAATATGTTAAATCAAGAAAATACTTATTTTTTTTCATAATATACTTTACAGCAATCTATAACAAATGTAATGTTACAAGGAAAAATTCCACCTCTCCCATGGGTGTAATTATCAAGCACTGGTCAAGAGGAATTTGATAACAGAAAATTGCATGTCAAATTAGAGAGAAATTAATGAGTTTAGTGTGAGGAGCTAACTGGTAGAGCATCTCTGATCAAGCAGGTGTTATCTATATCTCTTGGGAACTGGGCAAAAAGAATCAGCTTTGTTGGATTAAATAGTTGGCTAGCCGAACTTTTAAAATGAATTTGGTGAAAAGTAATTAAAACTTATTTGATATTGTATAACAAATTATAATTTAAATAATATAATTATTATATAATAAAATTAAAACTAATTATACTCGGTATTGCAGCTTAAAACCAGTCTGACATTAAATCTAAAAAAAATCAAGTATTTAAAAAAAATGTTTTTAATTATGGTAGATAGTCCCTACAAATCTAAGAGTAAATTGCAGGAACCTTATTAAAAATGTTGCAGATCAAGATTACACAAGTTTTTTGTTTCTTTCTATAAATCTTTGTAACAATTTTTTTAAAAAATATTTGTTTTCAAATTTAATTTCAGAATGACATAAATATGCATTTTTATTGCACTACAAAGCAGATAGTATGTATAGATCCATTCATCCATTGGGATTTATGAGTGGACATGCATCCATGCAGTTAAAGATTAATTAATGAGTTCAGTGTAGGGAGGCTAGCTGTCTCAATCATTTCTGTTAGATGATCTCTGATCAAGCAGCTGTTATCTGTATCCTTTGGGAATTAGACAGAAGAACTGCTGTTCAGTTTATAGCATATGTCATTTGATGGCCAGCCTTTTATTTTTAATATTAATTTGATATAGATTAAGTTGTTAGGACTAAATTGATATTGTTTAATATAATATTTTTATTTAATATTTTGAAAATATCAACTAATTCAGAGCATCATGTCTCACAAATCTGAAAGCTGGGGGGGGGGGGGGGGGGGTGGGGGGGTGGGGTGGGGGTTGCAGATGGACATTTGTCAAGCTCTAACACAACCAGTTGAGGATCTATAATGTAATATTTGTTATAATTAATGCCTACACCACAGGAGATGTATAAACAAATATTAAAAGGAATGGAAAAATCATTGAAATCCTTGTATCAAAGTTGACATCATTTTCTTGCACTCTAAACTGTTTATGACAATTGAACAATATTTGATGGGCGTATCATGCTGTGGCGGGGCACTTTATTATACTGTCTGGTGAGAGTGATAAATGGGGAACAGATTGGAACCTAATTTATGAACTGTTAATGAATACTAGACTAATTATTTTGTTGATCCTGATCACCCTATTTTTCTTGCTTTTGGGCAACAAAGCTTCACCTTTCAGTTCATTTCATACTCTATGGATCTTCTAAATTGTTGTATTATACTCAGGTGACCGTTAAGGCCCTTGGGCCTCTTGTTTTCTTTAAATACTAGATGAAATCCCGCGCAAGAGCGGGTAATTGAATTTATACCACTACCGACAGAAAATATATTGTAGTTTCTACTGACAGCCTACAGGCTTATAGCAGGAAGAAATACTTTTTTTTCAAAATCCCGCATGTGCGTCTCCAGCCACCCCCACCCCTTTTTGTAAAAACTTGAAAAAATAACAATTTCATTAATTGATATTTATTGTGAAACCTGTTATACTATGTTATGGATATTGTACTTTATATGCTCTTATTTCATTTCCGTCAAGGATCAAAGCAGCGAATATGCACATTTTACTGATAGTTTTTTTTTGGGGGGGGGGGGGTTAAAAATTCACAGGTATTCGGGTCTTGGTTTATAAATATGTATGTACCTTTTTGATATGTAAAAAATGTACTTTATCTTTTTTACGTATCAATACGGTACATACATATCTATAAATCAAGACACAAGTACCTGTGTAAAAATTAGCTTTTAACGCCCTATGAATAGGCCGAGTATTTGATACAAAAGACTGTATACAGAAAAAAAAACTGAAATGTATCGATTAAAGCACAAAATTTTACAGCTTTAATTGTATTTGAGCAATATCTTATTCATAAATTTCTCTTTTCATGTAAGCAATTTTATTACGAAGTAGAAATTGCACTTCGGGTTCGTTGCCACGA